TCTGGATAGATGGTTGGACACAAAAAATCATGATAATCTAAATCCTAAATCATCATCATCATCATCATAATGGCCATGATCGATGGTCGCTATCAATGGCTGCCCCGCCCCGACTGTCAGTTGTAGCCACCGTATGCCGCCACTATCTTCTGCTGCGCAACCACCAATTGTGTGGACATTTGTCTTCTAGTTTTAGGAGCATTTCTTTTGTGTTGTGTTATGTTCACTCCAAATTTGGATAGTTTTTTTTTCTTGAAATTCTAGTTTTCTTCTTTGATGTAAGAAGCCACGTATATTTTGTCTCCCACGTTTAGTTTTGGTATTTCTTTTCTTTTTCGTGTACTGGATTGATTTTAATCAACACAGACAAGAGATTCTAAACTTACTATTTTTATTGGCGTAATTGTTTATAGGGTGATCACTACGTGTTACCAATCTTTTTGACTTCTAAAATTACTACAAGAAAATTCAATTAGTTGACTATAAATCACCTACAACGCTTGAAATTAGAAGTGGTATTCAATTTATTTTAACCTACAACTCGCTACGTTATCCACTGATTATTCAAATAGATTAAAAAAAAAAAAGTCAATCGATGATTCATGATAACGGATTAATTGCATGGCTTTCACGTTAGGATTCAATTACTGTACACATAAAAAGTGGGGAAATTAAAAGGTCAAAGTAGACTATGTTTTCATCGTTATGCTTAGAGTATCCACAATAGTGATAAATAACAAGTAAAATAATTATTATATTATATTGTTTGTTATTGTGTTGAGTGTGATAATATTATACGGAGTAAGAATTCTTACACCGTGTAGTACACTTTTTGGTGCTAAAATATAATTAATGTGAATTAATGATGATACTAAAACTATTTCATTTTATTATACTTTTACGATGTAAACAAATATAGTGGAAAGTAGAATAAAAGTATAATATTGAAAATTTTTGACATTATACTCATAATAGTATAAACCATTGTAGATGCTCTTAAGTTGATGTTATAATTTTATTTTATTTTTAAACAATGTATCTGGAAGCTATAGACTAATAATAAATCATGAGAATTTGGCATGGTGTCATTATATGATAATCATTTTTGATAATTTTATTTGGACGGTGTAACTGAAATAACGATGGGATCAAATCAAACTTCTCTAATCAACTATTAGTATTAATAATTGCGTAAAATAGCCGTTTGGATTAGTCAACATAAAGAGCATGTCAAACAACTGAGAATAAAAAAATGGCTCAAACTTTGTAGCTGCGACAATAGTTCATCAGTTTCGTAATCAAAGAAGCTTACAACATTTCGACATCCTAACTATAAAAAGGATATAATCCGATTAGTTGTTAGTCCTTTACTATTATATATAGTATTATATATATTTCCATCTAACACGAAATATTACTTTTTCATTTGTTAAAAGTGTGTTAATCAAGTTTGACCCGTTTTTCTGGCTTTCTAGACGTTTCAGTTACATAAAACCATTTGTTATACCCAGCGATATCATCATCCACTTCGACACTTGTTCATCTTTCTTCAACAAAAAAGAAAAAGAAGGCATTTTATCTCCAATGGGCAATTAGAAATTGCAACTTGGTTGTGAAAATTTCTTTTACCTTATATCCTCCTCCCGTCCCAGTCAATAATTCTTATTATTACACTGTTTGATATTATCTCCGTCCCAAAAAAAAAAATAGTCCACATTAAATTTTCAAATTTATACTATAAAAACAGTACAAAATTCAAAACTCAATATAAACTATTTTTTTGGGACGGGGAGAGTAATTAATATCTCAGAAGGCCCCAAAACAAAGCTTAAGCTACCAATAAAGATTTATTTTTGTAGGGTGGTATTGGTTGACGTACAATCTATTTATTTTTGTATTAATTAACTTGAAATAGATTTTGGGAATGAATGGAAAAAGAAAGAAAAGAAAGTAAAAGAATGGATACAGAGTTTGACATTGTGTCTCCTCTTTTATTTTTTGTCTTCTTTTGATGGGGATATTCCACTTTGGAGTTTAAGGAATATTGGGGATGGCTGAAATAGAAAAGCGCAAAAACAATGTAATGTACTCGCGGAAGAAAGGTCACAAGTTTGAAATTTTGAAAAGTTTAGGAACGAGGAACACGAGGTTTTTTATTTCACATTAAATTTGCTTCAATGCCATTATTTGTGAATCGAACAAGATTTTTCACGGTAAAAATGATCGATAAAAAAAATGAGGTAGTGATTGATGTGATACATGTACATTAATCATAACGTAATTACTAATAGTATGTTACGGAGTTCTCTTACTAAAAAAACCCTTCTAAAGGAGCTGAAAAAAGATCAAAACGAAAGTCAGAAAAAGAAGATTCAACTCTATAGAAAGTTTGGGTAGCAATCCGGGAAAGCCAAGGTTCTGCTTGGCCACGATGGTTGAAGTGAACAAGTTGTATTGAACTTGCGAGTGACAGACATGCTAGTATCTGTAAAGCCAATCAGCGCTGACCCATCTCAGTTAGTCATTGGTTGTATTTACTATTTAGTTCATAGCCACTTGTGCTTGTGAAGTTTCTAAAAGTTTTACAATATTTTTGAGAGTTCACATAACATAAAATATTGGAAACTGATTATATCGTCAGTGTGCATGCCTGACAGCCTCGTTTCACCATGGATAACAGACTACTGGATATCAGAGAAAGGAAAATATGGAATGATTCCGAATGTTCGTTATTTCAAAAGTAATTAACTACGTTCTTTCTTATTACAAAATAACGAAATCTTGTTTCTTAAATTATTTTGATTCACAGTATTGCGTGGTCAAAAATTGCGCACGCAACTGGTTTGATATAATATGACAAACATGTAGAATTGATTCCCTAATCATTTGGGGTATGTTTGTTTCGTTTTTTTAGTGTATGATTTTGTGCTGCACTTGTTACCGATTTACAAATTAATGTCACACGCTTAGGAGGAGACTGGAGAGCATGGGATTGACCAAGAGAGTACTAGAAATTCAAATTAGAAAGCCCCCGAAGAGGTCAAAAGGAAATCCGTGTGTCAGTTTATGTGAGCTAAATGCTTCCGACTTGTCTCGGTAAGGTGTTGAGTTTCGTCCCGCCAGGTCGCACACCTTCTTTGGGCTTAAACAAAGCGACAACTCCCATTACTTTCTAATGGGCTTTAACTTCATTACCATCTATTTCAGGCCCTTAATTCATCATCCCAAGATCATTAGAACATAGCGATGACTTCCCTTTTCTTTTTGGTATACTGAAGAAATTTTGCACTTAGGCTACATTCAAACTCCTCGAGAGGAAGTCAGGTTATCAAAACTATTCTTGTCTCGAACACATAGTCCACTTCATAAATTTTGAGAACCATAACAGTTTTGATTCAAATTTAAAAATTCAATTTGGACTATGTATTTAAGGCATTACTAGTAGTTTTTAAAAGCTATGGTCGGGGATAGTGACAAAACATGGTAATAAGACTTAAAGTTGCCTCCAAGTGTGTCTCTCTACTTCATAGTTCACACTTCACACTCCAAAGTTCACACAAGTCCAAGAAAGTTCATGCCTTCATGAAGCTCATAAGCAGTCCTATTAAAAGCTTGAGAAAAGCCCAATTGGTTTTGAACTTTTTGTATTAAACAATTAAGAAGCCCACGTTGCTTTTGAGATGTGGAACACATGGGCCTCAAAACACACTCACAAAAGGACGAACTGCCAATTCATGAAAAGTAGCGTACAATGACAGACACGCACGAGGGCCATGAAATGGACTAAAACTATATTTTAAAAGAAAAAGAAAATGAAAAGAAGAAGCCTGACAGCCAAATCAAAACAGGTGCTTAGATTCTTCTTGATTCTACAGTTTTAGGCCCCTTTTGTGCAAACCCAAATACCATTTCCGCCCTCCCAGTTGTGGAAACCTCTTTTTTTGCCTCGCATTTTCTTTTGTGAGATTTTCCTTCTTTCATTTTTATTTCCATTTTTTTTTTGGTTGCTTTGATTAATGACAGTACTATGTTTGTAACTACCGGCGACATCAAATGTATTGCAAGTGATATTGGGTCTGCTTTAATTTTACTTTTAATTAATATATTCGGCAACGGCACATATTTATCCAAGGAAAAAAAACCCTAGAGGTTGAAACAAAAAAAAAAAAAAAGACGCAAAATTTTCTAATTATCCATTATCTTCAAGACATTTGATCGGTGTAATAAATTAAATAAACAAATTTTCAATTCATTACGTTGTATACATTATCATAATTGGTACTAACTACTGTATATGGTTAGGAGTCATGGTACATTTGTGAAACAATAAATTTAGAGGTCACGTCACTACTATTTATGTTTTATGCGAACCTGTCTTATTTAAGTGTCCTTACATAATACTCCCTCGTCCTGTAATTATTGTCCATTTTACTAAAAAAATTTTGTTCTAAAATTATTGTCCAATTTGACTTTTTATGGACCAAATTACACATTTATCCTTAATAAAAAACATTATCCATAAAATCTTAGTAGTTAAACAATTATTTATGTAAGGGTATATCCCATTATTTAAGGTAAAATATAGTTAAATTTGACCAAAAATAAAATCTTTCATTTTAATAAAATTAGACAATAATTATGGGACGGAGGGAGTAATTATTTATAAATCAGGTTACCATTGTCACAATTTATATGCATAAATGATCCTTTTTTTTTTAGCAAATAATAAAATCACAGCAGTACAATGGAATCCAAAAAAAACCAGGATAATTGGCTAGCTGTTATGCAATTACACTTATCGTCATCTCTTACTCTTTCTTACTACATGCATGTCATGGTCCAGGCGTCCAGTGCTGTCTGAAATCTGAACAAATGAGACCACTTTTGGCCGGAATAGTAAACCCCCAAAACACAACAGGTTAAAGAATTTATACCCTCACTCGCTGATCTGATTTTCCACCCCCCACGTTTCAATAATTAAACCCCCTCTGTTTCTGTACCAAAAAGACAAGCACAATTTTGTGGAGCAATAAAAAGTTGCTACTGACATCACTCCAATTAGTACAGTAACTATGAGTAACTAAAAGATATGCAAAAGCTTCTTCTTCTCATACCATTTTCCATTTATGAGAATAAACCAAATTGGTATCTTTCCAAACTTTATAACAAAACCTTAAAAAAAAAAAATTTCCCTTATTAAATCGCAAAATACTAAAAAAGAAGGAGAAAAGAAAAACACAAATATAAAAATGGCAATAGAAGGGAAAAAGAAAGGACCCAGTTTTCCCCTTTCTTTTGGCATATTCTATTTTACATTGTAGCTAATAAGCTTTATCATTCTAATATAATACAATGATATAAGATGAAAAAACAGTGCAAAAATTCCACTTCTTTACAAGTTACAACAACAGAACCAACAAGTAAATGCTTCAAGGAGAAAATTGAAAGAAAAAAAAAAAACACTAATCTACACCTAAAGGACATTGAACATGAAAGCTAGAATGTTCCCCCTTCCATCATGAATGCCAGCTAGAAAATGAATGGGCCAATTTCGAAAGGCCCCCCCTCAAAATTCCCCCTTTTTCTTTTTGGGTTTTTCATTTTTTTCTTCATCGTGTGAAAAAAATAAATTAAAAAATTTTTGTTGGAGAAATATCCAAAAAAAAAATCAATAATGACGTCGTCATACCAATAGATGATGCCAAAATACTATACACCACAAACCCAAAAATATCCTCAACTCACCGCCGCCGCCAGCTGTAGCAGCTCCAGATCTCATATCTAAACCGGGCGGCGAAGACAGATGACTCCCCGGCGGGCCGTATGGGTCCGGTGAATTCTCCGGAGACAGTGAAATGTCCGGCGGCAGGGCTTCCCCTCCGTCACTAATGGGGTCAATCGGATGACTCCCAAAGTATTCTTTAGGCAGCAACACTTTAGAAATCCCGAATATGGCAACCGGGTTTTGATCAAACACCGTTTGGGTCACCGTCGCCACTACAATCCCGCTGTTAATCGCGACCGACCCGTTAACCCGGCTGATATTCAAGGTGAAGCTGCCGGCCCCCATATTCTCAGTGGCCAATGTCGGCTGAACCGGGTTCACAATTGACTCGAGCGAGCCCAACGGGTAATAAGAATGCAACACGTGGAACCTTAAAACCACCGCTTTCCGGTCCGCGGTCAGAGATTGGAACTTGACCTTAGCTGGTAAATCGGAGAAAGCTTCGTCGGTCGGAACGAAGAGTGTGATCCCGGCTCCGCCTTCGTCGGCTTCAAATTCTTCCTCGACGCCGGATGCCATCAGCATCGAGGCGGCGACGTTGAAATCGTGGCCGTCGATGAGGGCTTTGGTGATGTTGAGGCCCAATGGGGGCCGGGTCTCGGAAGCCATGAGATTAACCTCAGATGGGATGAGGACGGAATTGATGGAGAAGACGGAGACATTGTAAGGGAGGGTTTTGACGAGGGACAAAACGGTGGCGTTGGAGTAGCTGGAGGAGTGGATGGTGACGGTGTTGGAGCGTGGGTCCCGGGTGAGGTTGAGGAAGCCGGAATTGGTGGAGGCACGACCGGTGGTCTGGAAGAGGGTGGTAATGAGCTTGCCGGTGGGCGGAATGAGGCGGAGGTCGGGCCAGGAGAGGTACTCGAGGAGGATGTGGTAGCGGAGGACGTCGGCGAGGTGGTGGGAGGAGGAGGAGGAGGATAGATCGGAGGAGCGGAGGAAGGTGTTGGGGACGGCGAGGACGGTGAGGGAGGAGCGGGAGGTGAGATCGGCGGCGACGGAGGTGGAAGAGAGGAGGGAGGCGAAGTCGGAGAGATCGGGGTAGGAAGAAAGGAGGGTGGAGATATCAATGGCGAAAATGGGCATGTGGGAAAAGGAGAAGAGAAGGAAGTAGAGGAATGTGAGAGGGGCAAACCGGGAAATGGAGGATAATATGGTTGCCATTATTTTTGAGGGTAAGTAACTAGTGAGAGTGAGTGGAGTCTGGGGAATAGAGAGAGAGAGAGAGAGAGAGAAAAAAAGAGAAAAAGGAAGCAGAAAATGAAAGAAGAAAGAAGGAAAGGAGGTCAGTGACAGCCTCACCACACTTCAGTGGGCATTCCGGGGTATTCCTGTTGGGTGGTGATCATATTGCATCTTTTTGGGGTTGTAACATGATGGATTTTTATTTTTTTTTCCCATTTCTTTTATTTTAGTCTTATATATTTTTTTTAAGACACATAATGTATGGTATTGTTCTATGAGAATTTACACTCATTTTGTAGATTATAATATGATTATGAACCATTTTTTAAGCTTTCCTACTAATTATTCAGTTTGGATTTTTATTTCTGGTTTAATTTATACTGAAACTGAAAATCCAAACTGAATAATAATTTGAGACGAAGGGTGTATATTTCTTCCTATTGTGTTTGTAATTTATAGTTCAACATCTTTATGATTACCAAAAAAATGGAAGGAATATTGTTAGCCTATCAATGAAAGTGAATAATAACATCATTATTGCAACTTAATGCAAAACAATGCCTTTTGATTATTGTGGCAAATAAAAAAAGAAGAAGATGATGATAATAGTAATAAACTTTTTGTGGGGAAAATCACATTATCTCTTACTATTACACATACTTTTGTCAGTCTGTGTTAACATTTTATTTCATTACTATTTTATTCAAACTATTTTGTTTTTGTCATGTTAAACTCCACATCTCCACAGGATTATTATCATGTGGGTCGATTGTTTAATCTAAAAGTTGCTTCGGGTTTTTGCCATTTTAATGTTTCCATAACATAAGAAGCTCTACTTCTAGCTGCTCTTTCGGACCCTTTTGGTACACTTAAATATGTTCGTCAAATAGATGTACTGATCTATTCTCTTGGCAAATGGCAAAAGAAATATAAGTAGTGAATTAGTAATACATATATGGAAAAATTATAAGAGGGAAGATAACAAAAAATGATGAGTCTAAATTTAAATTATTTTCATAATCTTAAATGTATGGGTCCCAAATGAAAATTGTACAAATACGTAAATGGATATATTAATTTAATTCACATCATTCATTCTTACATTTTCTTATGAATAAATATATTCATATATATATATGTGTGTGTGTACATCCAGTGGCGGAGCCAGGAAATCCATATAGAGAGTGCGAATTTAGAAAAAATCTACTAATGATTTAGAAAATTAATGTAAGGGGTGCAAAAATTATAAAATATATGATTTTCTATTAAAAATTTAGGACATCACTACTAATTACTAAAGATTGAGCAGGTACAACCGCACCACTCCATCCCCTAACTCCGCCAGTACATCGTTGCGCATATAAATTAATCACTTTTCTTTTAATGTATAGGGTAAATCTTAAGCAATGTAGGTGTCTTTTGAGAGTTTCGGGGGAAAAAAGAAAATAAATGTTCTATAATATTTAGGAATCTTTTGGGACCGAATACATAGCATAATCTTGACGAACCTAATAATGCATACATAGAGTGAAATTGGGGAGGGCCTAATAAAACGTACTATGCTTTCTTAGTGGCGTATACATTCCTAATGGCTAATGCTTGTACCTTTTTATTTGGACCCAACGAAAAACATTAGCCCTTCTAGCTTCTGCTGTCAGATATAAGTGCTACATATTACTATATTAGAACTTATGATTATGAATTTTAGCAGTAAACAAGATAAGAACCCTTTTATATATTTTTAAGCACCTGATCTTTATTCCAAACGCAAGAGAGATTATAAAAAAGAAAAGAGGAAAATTCATTCTGGAAACTACTGTTAACATACGTTCTCAAAGTTATTAACCATTGATAAGTAGTGGATCGACTAAATTAATTAATAAAAGTATAAATAAATTAAGCTAAAAAGTTTTGGGAAGCCACTGTTGCTCAACGTGGAGAAGAGATGAAAGTACATCATTACGAAAGTCGGTCCATCATCGTCAATGATTGGCATACAACTCATTCACCCTTTGCCTTTCCTCTCCTTATCATTTACCTAACCTACGTTTTGAACGCAGCGATCAAGGTTTTCTCCTTATCATACATGTAATATATAGGCCAATCATTAAACATTTTCGTTGTATTTTATCATGCAAATGATCTCGTAGTTACAAATATATTTTCTTTTCAATAAAAATAAGATTTATAAATTAGGTAGGAATTGTAACAAACAAAAACTTGGTAAAAACGAAGTTGATTAATACTAAGCCAAAATATCATAAAAAATTGTGAAAATTGTACAAAATAATGGATTTTGAACTCATCACTTGACTGTTTCGTCAGCGTTAATAAGTAGACGAACAAGTCAACGCTAATTATTTCTACAACAAATAAATATTTGGTAATTGTTTTAAAAATATTTAGGTAAATAATTTGTAATGTTCCTGAAATTTTAAAGTTCAAAATTAATTTAATAGTAACTTCTAAATTGTAGTACTATGAAAAAAATATTGCGATAATGATAATAACAAGGGGATTTTGGTTTTTGTCGACTTACGCGTCGACTTCACTAGGGAGACAACAAAGTCGATGGAGAAAACTTGTTGACAAATAAACATTTTACAACTCTTAAATTGATACCGATCAATCAACAGACTCTTGAATTGGTATTAAAATACTCAATGCCAAATATTTGGTTCGCGTTTAGATTATAATTGAATAATGAATGTCCACAACCAAATACAAAATTGAATGCACTATATCAAATTTGGTCTGCGACGTTTTTCTAACAGGACTTTCATTGGAAAATCTTTATTAGTGAAATTGTAAATTGATCAATCACTAATTCTCAAAAGAAAAAAAAGTGAAAATAATACAAAACTAATGGATTTGGTCTTTGTCGAGTTTGATTGATTTCTATTAGAAAACGAACAAGTCAAAATCAACAAGTTTCTAGATTTTTTGCTGGAAACTTTAAATTAATATCGATAAATTAAAAAATATTTTGAAGCAACGGACTTCTTATTAAAAAGATCAATTGTTAATTTTTTTTTTTAAATTTATTTTTGAACGGTGTCAAAACAGAGCTGGTGGCGGTTCAAGAGGCGATCCGCCTAGTATTACAATATGGCTGGACTCATCTACAGTTCTTGATAGATAGCATCGGAGTAGTTAATACATTAGCAGGTCGTGAATAACCACTAGGGTGCTATTCGGGACTAGAGCGGTAAATAGTTGAAATGGTAAAGGATCTTCGACTTTGTAATATTCGTAAGCTTAATAGTGTAGTATTAGTGTAACAAATTAACAAGCCAGACTTTGTATTCATTGGCAGAATCCTTTAGGGGCTCGGGGATACCAAGCCCCCCGGCCGGCCGGTGGACTCCTTAGCCGTAATCATGGTTCATCTCCCGCTATATATGTTCGACGATTTTTTTCTGATTATAAACCCATAGTTAACTTTCCCAAATCTGCGACGCTGGTTTTGTCACTGTTTGTATTTCTAACTTTTTTAATCGAATAGTAGTCCGGCCTTTCCACAACGATTATGGAATGCGGCCGTGTCGGTGACCTAACCTTAGTTCCAAGCATGATTGTTTGTGCGATTAGCCCAGGCATTTGGGCTGGCCTCATTAAATAGATCCAACTGATGTTATTTACGGCTGGGATTTGAAATTTCTGTGAACATGAAATGATAAAAAATTTCTTAATGGGGAATTATTTTCTTACTGATTTGAATTCGCAAAAATTAATCAATGTTCATAAAGGGGGATATTTTTTAGAAAAAAAAAATAAAATTAAAAAGGATATTATAAAAATAAGTACAAAAAAGGTCATCTAAGAAACTAGGAAGACAAGTTGCTGTAATTGGAAAGATTTAAAATTAACAAAAAGCCTCACTATCATGATGCCGTGTCTTCACCATGTAGTTTATAGTTTTAAACTTTATACTATTACTAAAGACAATGGACCTATGTAGGATCGATTCATATATAGTTCATTGTCTCCCTTTCGTTCTGAATAATTTAATTTGTCATATTATTTTAGTTTGGTAAAATAAATCATTAAAATAATACGTAAAAAATATATATATGTAAGTTTTTAAATTTATACTAAAATTAGCGTAAATCTTAAAATTTAATGTGATTTTTTTTTTTTTCGGATGGAGAGAATAAATTATGAGTTCCATGCATACGTAGTAGAAGTTGTTAGCAATTTTTTATACTACGTAGATAATATAGCAGCCGTCAAAACTCAAAATTGTCCATAATTCACTCCGTTGCCTGGTCTACTTTGGTGTAGTTTAATGAATCCACGACCTTTCTCTGGATTGACTCTTGCTTCAATTTCTTTATCTTGTTTCTGCTACAATCCCTCTCTCATTCTAGATGTTTTCATATTTGACTGATCAGCAGCCTCAATTAATTACATCCCACTTCCTCCATTACATCACTTCCATATTTTTTAGTAAGAAAGTCTTACGTTTGGATTAAAACTTTGATATTTGATCCATTACGCTCGTATCTTTATCTGCTTTTAACTTTGATATAGAGTTTTTTTTTTTTGATGAAAACTTTGTTATAGTAGGCCACACATGTTGTCAATTGTCATATCGTGTACATTGCTCAACACAACAACTTATTTTGAAACTGTGCGAAATTAGTTTTGTTCTTACAACTCAAGCCCTTTTAATTTACTAGAGTATTTTTAACAGCCATCATTTATACAATTATTATGCTCTTTGTAGCAATTAATTGACCATTTTGTCACTGTCATTTTAACTTTATAATCAACTTCAAACCTCTAAACTCTCTTAACTTTTCAACATTTAGAATATCATTTTGAAGTTTTTTGGACCCGAAATTGGTGGCACCACAAAAAATTCGAAGTGCGAATATTTCAACACAAGTCCACTATTCGTTGAGAAATTATTCAGTGTAGCTGCTGTACTATATAGTATTGTGCAACCAGACACAATAATAGGGTAAAGTAGTAATTTTAAGGCGAGAAAGATAATTTTTACAGGAGTTATACCACCAAAATAAAAAGATACTAATACTTACTGCACTAGAAACCAAGATATAGCAGCTGTACTCAATAATTTTTCCTATTCATTAGCCTAACACTTTCTATTCGATAACATCACTTAATGGGTACACTACAATTTGTCATTATGCTTCACTCCTTTCCTTGATTCGAGAATTGATCTTTTGGTGTATTTTTCTTTCACCTCTATTTTTCCTTCTTATTTTTTTTTTCCTTCATGGTGGTTGGGTCCTAGATGGAATATCTCAGTTGACATCGGAAAAAAACACGTAAAGAGTTACTTGGGTCTTCTTGGTCAGAGTATGAAGCGGTCTCTCATCGTAGAATGAAGGGCACTGTCTCGTTCTTTTCTTTAGTCAAAGTAGTTTATCCTTTGGACTAACCTGCTTCCTATCCTATTCAACTTCATATAATTCTCAAGAAATAGCATCTTTAATACATCTAACGGTTTTTTATTTTCAATCATGTGTACTGATTAAAGTTTTTAGACATAGGGTCTCAGAATTGCACAATCTGGCATACTGCCGACTACAATGTATAATATTAGGTATTAATTAATATACAAGTACGTTTCTCCAAAAAAAAAAAAAACTGCATACAATTCCTTCCCCACCCCTCCCCACAAAAAAAAAAAAAAACCCTGCTTATTGAGTATTGGCAACGACATAACAAGTTTAAAACCCAAATATACGTTTCTTTTGTGGCAATTTAGCTGTAAATCAATACGTCTAAATTGAACAAAGCGGTTTGATTTCTAGCAACTAATTAGATTTGAAACATGCATATATGAGTACTCGATGTGGAGTGTAAAATTACTGTTTCGTATGGAAAAGCAAATCGGGAAACAATCCATCTCTGATGAAGCTTCTTATGAACTGAAAATAAGACGTGATTGTATGATTCAAAAGACTCAATGATTGCTTATTAATTGGCAACCAAACAAAATAATGAATTAGGTTGGACTTTGTTAATAATAGGGAGAACTCTAACGGGAAAAAAAAGGAAGCATGAGGATTGTCGTGGTTATTAACTTGCATAATTTGCCAAAAAAGAAGAAAAGGTGATATATATTTTTTAGAAGTGAAAGAGTTGTACGTTGTCCATCAAAACAATGCATATATGCAAGCTCACTTTTTATCTAGGGTTTTAAAAACTAGTACTTCCTCCGTCCCATAATTATTGTCCAGTTTGAGTTTTCATTTCTAGTTCAAATTGTACTAAAAGTGAAATATCAAAGTGAACAATAATTTTGGGACAAAGGGAGTATTACGATAGTGGTTGAAGAAAATTAGTTGAAATTGAGCTATGCAATAATTCCACAAGTCACACACACACTTTTTTATTTTTTTTTTGAAAACAAATACACCAATTTTGTTAATTACTTGTTCATGTCTCTTTCATCTGTGTCATGATATAAGTTACTCCAAGTTAAGCCTGCCTCCAAACAAAGGTAGTTGGACCTTGGTTCCAGCAGTTATTTGTGAGTTAATGGCAAAGTACAATATTGTGGATCATGCTATCTGATAGGGAAATTTGGTGATCTAATTTAAGCTGATTTGATCTCTTCATACACCAAGAATGAAATATACAAACTCACTCTATTGACCCTTTCTTTGTTGGCAACCCCACATTTATTAATTTTTTTAATTATACCTACCACCCACTAATTCAATTAAGCATGAACTGCAAATAACTCCCATGGGTTTGCCTATTCTTGCAACACACATGTACTTCTCAAAAGATCAATTCTAGCTTCAATCATTTTTATACTTTTGCAACTAGCCCCTATTTTGACCAGTATTCTAAGATCAAATTTTCAAGGGATTAGAAATGTACCAAAGCCATCTATATTGCTTGAACTGCCCGCTAAGTCTCATTTCGCATCACACTTCATCACCATTCTCGACAACTATAAATAATAAAGTCCAAAGTATTACTAAAATCTTTCGATGCATAAAATTTGATAAAATTAAAACAATAATTAGGGTTTATTGATTCAGCATTCCATAATCATACAAGATTTTATGTTTGATGATTGAACAATTACCCAGAATTTTTTATTTTTATTTATTTTATTTTTTTTTGGTCAATATTCAACGGGAAAAGACGTGAGGTAGATTACCGGATTAAGTGTGTGTTGGTTTTCTAGGGACAACATGCACAAATGTCAAATTTGAAGGAGTTTCTATGCAATTGATTAATAGGTAACAAAAGGTAGTTGACGAGGAACACTTTCCCTGGCGCCTAAAAATTAGTTAGTTGGCTGTCTTCTTTTTCTTGTTCCAACTTCCAAAGTCCTCCCTTTGAAACTGTGGGAAAAAAGAAAATCTTCCCTGAAATTCTTACTATTAATTCTTTTGTCAAACTTATACAACAACACTAAAACATCCTTGAATTTGGTCTTAGCCTCCACTTATTAATGTTCTCGTCTTGTACATCATCAAAACCCCAATGCATAAATGTCAAGAACCAGTCTTTTAGACCATTCAAAAGCCGCCTCTCAGAGTCAATTACACCATTCATTCATTTTTACTCAATTTCATTCAATTCAAGCCACAACCCATCTTCCAATTCTTCAGTTTAAGGTCATTCTGATTGATTTAATGTTGATTTTTGTTGGGGGTTTGTTAAGACAAGTTTGCTTGAGCTGCAGTTTGATCAGTTGTAAGTGTTCTTCTTTGTCTCCTGCTCTGTACTTTTCTGCCTGTCATTCGGGTGTTGCTTTTTTTGGTTTCTATCTTGTTTGGTAGCTTTCAATTTCATGATATTTGGCTTTATTTATGTTAACTTAATCAGAGGTGAGGTATTTGTTTTTGGTTCATTCTTTTGGCTGATTAGAACTTTCTGTTAGTTGAAGGCATGTAAACAAAGGAATTAAGAAGCTAAAGGTTTCTTTCTTGAAGAAAACCCACTGGAAAACTGTTTATATATATGAGATTATTCTGGTTACGAGGGTTGTTTAAGAACTCATTGCTGATTAGATATTTATAAGTTGTTTTGCATTTATTTTAGACTGAATGAGTTTTTGATAACAACTTCACAGGTTAATTAGGGATTCTTTGCTAATTAGTTAGGGGTAGAAGTTTGTCAGTTTGATATCCAGTTGATTGGTTTGAATTGCTGATCAAAATGGGAAAGAGCAGAATGTACACAAAGTATTCGAATGATGATGATGGAACAGATGAAGTTGAGGTGCTTGAACAAGTTTTCCCTAAACGGATATGGGGTTTTGGCTTTGTGCATAATATTGATTTCCATCATTGGAGATCTAGTCTCAAGAGAATCCTTCTTCAAAAGATAAATCCCCGAAAACGCCTTAAAGGTAATTAAGCAGATTAGTAATTCTCTTGTCTGTTTAGAGTAGCAGAGAGATATTTGAGAATTAAGATGCAATTTCAGTCTCTTTTTTTCCTGAAATTTTGTACCTAAGTACATATTTGTTTCTTAAAATCACATCATGCAGTTTTCATCTCAATATGATGAGCGCTCTTATTGTAAACAGGTAAGGTAAGGGAAAAGGAACTTGATCATGATGTGGGAGAACAACAAAAGCTTCTTAATGATGACCAAAAACACTTCCTTGTAAGTTTTCGACCGACTTACATATCTCACATTCATAGAGTTTCTGTTTTGCTGATTGTGGAAATGATTGGTAGATTGCTAAGGATACTGGAAGAAAGCAGAAAAGGTCTCTGAAAGCTCGGATAAAATCGTTGATTTCAGAAGAGAATGGAAACAAAAAGAGTTCAGTCTGTTCTCAACCTAAATTGCATCGCACCTATTCAATACATCATCTTGAACCTCCGGATCCTGATTGGGAGAGTCCAATTTTCTTCTTTTCTGATGAAAAGGATATTGGTCCCACAAAACTGTGGGATCTAAAAAATATGAAAGTGATAGACAAGCCGGATGCGCATGGAAAAAAGGCGAAAAACAATGAAGCTTCAAAAGATAAAGTTAGTTTTCTGGAAAATTTTAAGGCAAACAAGAATTTGTTTCTGGAAAGTCTTCAAGATACTGATTCTGTTGGCCTCCGGAAATTCTCCCATTCATTGCCTGGTTCAAGAGCAAAAGCAAGGTTAACCAAGTCAGGATCATATCCTAATCCTGCTTCTCTTTTGTTCCCAAAAAGAGACCTTGAGCCGAGTACATTGAGGCTAAAGCGGAGTGAAATTTGGCCAGCTCCGAAAGGAGAAAAGTTGAACCATGTTACTGTAATTCCAAAGGCAGAAACGGTCCATGGTTCAATGCATTTCCGCTCAAAATCTTTGCCTTCTGAATACAGGGTTAAGGGCAGCAAACTTGGTCAGGAATTAGATCTCATCACAGAAACTTCAGCCGAACCAGATGAAAGGAACATTGAAGAAAACCACTTTGATGAGGGAAGTCCAACATGCAGAGTTGAGAAAGAAAACGAAAACGAGGAAAATGGTTCTAGTGGAAATCCACTGTTCCACAGAAGAAGTTCTTCTCTAAATGACTCGCTGGATAAATATGCAAGATTATTTGGGAATGATCTTGGCAAGGATGCTAATTTAGGTTCATCTAGAAGCTTAAAGTTGAGAAATGAATATGAAGCAGGATTAGGTGGAGGTGCTCCGATACTGTTTGGAAGAATCTGGTCTTTGTCTCACCTCGAAAGTTATTCTTCTATAGGCAATGTAATGCCTGAAGATGATGTTAATTTACAAGAATTGCAAATCACAGCTAAAGAGGAAAGCCGCAAGGGTGATTGTCCTGAGCAAGAGTTAGAACAAGTAGGCCATGGCTCAGGTAATGAAGAAAGTGTCCCTAAGGATGTCCAAGAATCGATCAAAGAACACCAAACTCCATTAAATTTAGATAACTTTAACCAAACAATGGCTAACATCTCTGCGGCGGAAGGATTGAGTGCCTCAGAGAGTGTTGCTGCGGTGGAGGACCTAATCGAAGAAGCTGATAAATTGACGGTTGTCAAAAGCAATTCTTTCAGGGAGCAAGAAACATCGATAGCTCCAACTGAGTTTGCTCAGCCATGTTCAGTTTCTGAAGATGAAACATGTTTCAGAGAAGTGTCTTCTACTTCAGTGGAACAGTTCCAAGATTTTGAAGGTATAAAATCGGATACTTCTTTTTCATTTTTTCCATTTTAACTTTTCATGCCAGGCTGTAGATAAATATTTTAATTTATGCACATTTGAAAAGCCTCAGATTTTGAGACATGCTTCAGTACTACAGTTGTACTTGAGAAACATTACCTCACAAACAAAGAAACAAACGTAAATTGCTTACATAGTACCTAAATCTATATTAACTTGTAGCACTGTTTAATAATAATAACAGGACTTGCTTTGTTTGCTGTTGTCATAGGCGTGGACAATGAGGGTGATCATGATGATGTCAACTCACAGAAATCGGAATTGTCAGCAGGACCTGCTAATATGCCATACCTCGAAAAACCAGATCATGATATGAAGAAGCTGGACATTGCCAAACTTTTTGGAGGAAATGACATCAAACAACATGAAAACACTGATCTGGATTATGTGAAGGCTATTCTCGAATATTCAGGTTTTGGTAAGGATGCAGTACAAAAAACCTGGTATTCGTCTAACCAGCCATTAGACCCTTCAGTATTCATTGATATGGAAGCATACTTGCATAACAAAGAATGGGAAGGTTGCTATCACCATCAGCTTCTGTTTGACATAATCAATGAGAAGCTACTCAATGTATACGACAGATCATTCGCATATTACCCCAAGGCATTGTCATCTAGTTGCCATATTCATCCGTTCCCAATTGGAGACAACATTGTTGATGAGATATGTAAAAGTATCAGTCCGTTGACGAGCTTGAAGCCTGAGCAAAAGCAGTCACTTGAATGCATTGTTGGTTTGGATATGGCTGGGAAAGATGAGGGTTGGATGAACCTTCAAATGGAGAGTGAGTGTTTAGCACTTGAACTAGAGGAGTTGATCTTTGAGGAACTCATGGAAGATATGGAAGACATGATTTTCGAGCAAGTATTCGGCTCCTAAGGGGTTCTAGATAGAAAGTGACATGATTGTACATATATATAGGGTTGATATACATAAGGGTTGTAGATAGAAAATACACAGCTTTTCTTTCAGGCATTGTTTCTGCTTGTAAATGAAAATTTTGTCATTGAGGGGTTCATATACACGAGGGTTATAGATAGAAAAGCACACAGCTTTTCTTTTAGGCATTATTTCTGCTTGTAAATGAAAAGTTTGCCATTACCTCAGTGAGAAATATACATCATGACTTAGGTATAACTGTTTCTTTTTCTTCTTCTTCATTCCATCATGTCACCTCATTTTTATTTATTACTCCCTCCGTCCCATAATTATTGTCCAGTTTGAGTTTCATTTCTATTTCAAATTGTACTAAAAGTGAAATCTCAAACTGAACAATAAGTTTTGAATAAGAGTACTATTTTTTTATGGTAGAGAGGTGCATTCAAATTTGATTTATTAATTTTCCTTTTGTTTCAATTTTGAGTATTAACAGCGATTTTGTGATGAACAAACAACAAAGATCTGGACATAATTTAAATGTTTGAACGTTAGTGTTGATAGTTCAAATGTCAGGGGCCAATTAGTAATTGTAATAAAGAACAGGCGACAAATGACCCTAAAGTAAAACTTCATGGGACTAAAATGACGCTTAACTTTACAAAAGATCAAGAGTATAAATACTCAGTCCGCCACGAGAATTTCCCTCCAAAAGATGCAATTACTGGTAATTCTACAGAAACAGAGTTTCTTTGGAGCAATTCGTCGAACATCTGTGCTTCCTTCCTCATCACCCCATTACTTCCGGTGGTTTGGTTCCTCTTTCTGCTCACTGACACCAATCCCGGATGCCCATTTCACTGCGCAAACTTCTGAATCGGAGAAAGAAGAAGAAGAAGAGCTGGAGGAAAAAGATGGAAAGAGTTTGAGTTGGAGAATTGAAAGGCTGCCGAGAGAAAAGCCGGTGATTTCCGCCTTCCAAAGCTGGATGGGCGATGGATTCCCCATTCAGAGAGGCGATATCATTCACACTATCAATCGGCTGCGCAAAGTCAAAGCCAATAAACGTGCACTTCAGGTTGTTGCTCTTTTGAACTTGGGTTTATTCTTTTGCGCTTTTGTATGCACTCTTCTTGTTTGTGTTAATGAATCTCCCCGTAATGATTCAATAAATTCACATGACCATCTCCATTCTGTTGCCCATTTGAATGATTTGAAGAAATTTAAAATTTGCTCAAGTCTTGAATTAGGTGTCAGAAAGCTTCTCTTTTAATTTGTAAATGAAATTATGAAGATGATGATTGACTTAATCTCGTTAAACGTGTTATTTTTCTGTAATCAAAGCCCAATAAGTCCTGTTTATATATTTGGATACTTGAATTTTTGGGGAATCTTGAAATAAGATTATTAACTGTTGTGAGCCTTAACAGGTAATGGAATGGGTTATCAGGGAGAGGCCTTATAGGCTAAAGGAGCTAGATTATTCTTACTTATTGGAGTTCACTACTAGGCTTCATGGTGTATCAAGAGGTGAGACACTTTTTTCCCATATCCCAAAGGAGTTCCAAAATGACTTCTTGTATAACAGTTTCATTCTTGCGTGCTTGGAGAAAGGGTTAATTAGGCTTCCACTTACTTACATGAAGAAAATGAGGGAGTTGGGTCATCCCATATCTTACTTGGTCTTCAACCGTCTCATCATTCTCCATGCATCCCCTGGCCGTAGGAAGAGCATCCCAAAAATCCTGGCCCAAATGAAAGCTGATAAGGTGGCTCGTCATGTTTCCACTTTTAATATTCTCTTAAAGATGGAAGCTGATGACCACAACATTCAAAGGCTGGTCCAAGTGTTTGGTGATATGCAACGAGCAGCAGTTGAGCCAAATGAGATTACCTACTGCATAATGGCAACTGCACATGCTGCCGCGAGGTTGTTCACTGCTTGTGAGGCTTTTGTTGAATCTATTGAGAAATCTAAAGCTGGAAACAATTGGTCTACATTTGACATTCTTGTTATACTTTACGGATACTTGGGTAAGCGGAATGATCTAGAAAGAACTTGGAATGGCATTCAAGAGCTGCCAATTGTCAGGTCTAAGAGTTATGTGCTTGCAGTAGAAGCATTTGGTAAACTTGGGGATATAATTCGAGCTGAAGAGATTTGGTCGGGAATGAAATTGAAGAAGGGAATGAAATTGACAGAGCAGTTGAATTCACTGATATCTGTATACTGCAAACATGGATTAATCACAAAAGCAACAGGTCTATATAAAGAAATGGAGAAAATTGGATGCAAACCAAATGCCATAACATTACGGCATCTCGCGCTTGGATGCTTAAAGGCAGGGTTAAAGAATGAAGCTATCAAAACCCTTGAATTGGGGATGGGTATGTTTGCGAGCACAAAGGTTAGAAAATCCACTCCCTGGTTAGAGACAACTCTTTCAATTGTTGAAATTTTTGCAGATCATGGAGATGTTGACAATGTTGAGAAATTATTTGAAGAATTGAAGAAAGCAAATTATACTAGGTACACATTTGTCTACAATACATTGATAAAGGCCTACGTTAAGGCAAAGTTGCATGATCCCAATCTTCTGAAACGGATGATTCTAGGAGGGTCCAGGCCTGATTCTGAAACCTACAGCTTGCTGAAACTTATGGAACAGTTTCCCACCAAGTGATATTGCTCATCAGATTCGAGCCTAAATTGCATTTTGCACCAATGTGGTAAAAAATGTTTGACGGATATAACATCATTCCTTGTGGCCATATGTGTAAACTTCTTGGTGGGTTGACATTGGTAGAATGCTCAGTTCTGCTGCATAGTTGCTACCAGCCCGCTGTTCTGTGAAAATGTTGACAACCTATCCTGATGACCAGAATTCTTGGAGCTGGCCAGGTCATTGTCACAGTCCAACAAATATACAGGCAAGCTTCCTTGGTGTCATCTTTCTAAATTGCAACTATTATGCTAATCGAGCTGTACAGAGATCTGGATGCCACAAGCAAATGATATCATGGCCATTCACCAACTTTCTCGACTGCATATCAACCAGTCTGCATTTGAACATTTGCCTCTTTCCCCCTGCCTTTTGTTCAGTTTTGTGGAACATCAAATTTTATGCATCTTTCTTCTAGTTGCTGTTAGTATTCCATTGTATAGAAAACTGATTTTCTTTTATGCACGTGTAAGAGAGATTAAAGTTCAATTGATCTTCACTTCACATAAAGTTGGAATTCTGTGCACATGTTTATTTGGATACAGCTCCCCAAAGCCTCAAGTAATTTACCAAATATCAAACACAGTAATCAACATATCACTTGAGGTCTAAACATTGCATTTTGCCCCAACTTAGTGAAAAACATTTGATCTTAACACATTGGATCTCTGCCACAAAATATCTGTCTTTGATGCTCGCTAAAGTTGGTGGAGGCTCGATCTCTTGAACGCTTGCAAATCTCTGTTGCCGAACATTTGAAGGCTTGCTTTTGCTCCATGGCGGATGATTTTGAGTTACAAAGTGAGCGCCCTTTTGTGAAATATTGACGGAACCTACTCATATATTTGGGGAATTGTTGAGTCTGCTTCATTGTTTCTGCCAAACAACTAAACAAAGTAGAGCTTACTTGGCGTGGACTTTCTTCTCCTTTCAATTGAGCTTCACATCCTTCAGGATATTATAAGCTATGGTTGCATGGCGGCTGTTCAATCATGTTTGCTGGAAGACAAAAAATTTATATCAACGAGCACATAAACATTTGTCGTTGTGTTAGCTTTGTTGCCTTAACCTTCTTCAGTTTTGTGGAACATCAAATTGTGCAGCCTTGACCGCCCACACAATGAAGCCCTTTAAAAGCACCGTGTCGGCACCAAACTCTGGATCCAAAATCATTGATAGCCAGAATCACACATGGACTTGGACTTGAATCGCATCAGTGGTTTCACGTTAGCATTTGCTGCAACAGATCGGGGACGAAGACCATCAGATCGGAGGAGGTGGCCTGACATATTGTTATGTTTCTGCAGGAACCCTAATCAGCTTTGTCTATTCCAATAAATCCAGACTGTCCGAGCATCATAAAAAAGGTTTTAGTACCAAGTGTGACCAAATTATCCAACAATATTAACATCCCTTTTTACCAATATAACAGTGGGGAAGTGCAAAGTTATTCATCTTCAACTTAAAAAAGCTAGTTCAGCATCCTGTACATTGAAAGTTTTGGGATTTTAGTTGGCAATTTGACATGTTTCTGGTGAATATTTGAGCATTAATGCATAAACAAGGTTCTTGTACATCATCTTCTTGCAGTCCACAGCTATTTTTAATAATCATAAAATGCTTAATGCTAAGGAGTTAGAGAATCACAAATCAAAGTGCAACAAGTCCCATAGAACTACAAATAAATTCCAGTTCTTGAAATTTAACCAAAAAATTGTTGAGGTTGAAGCTGATGGCAGGCAAGTAATGAGTTGGGGATGTTCTACAAGCAGGATCAAAATGACTCAGTTCCTAAGTACAACGAAACAATCATGAATTACAGTTCCTAATCCAGTTCGATACTAACAAAGAACTGAACCACAAAGTAGAAATCATCCAGGACTGGTTGGACCATGCACGGAGCTCAAGTTAACAAACCAATTAATGAAAGCAGAACACAAGCCAAGTAAAGGGGAGTAATCCAACGTAAGCAACCAGGGGAAAAAAAGGAAGTGTACCGTGATATCAATTACAGCCATCAGCAGAAAGGGCTAAAGCAATGGAATCAAACATCTCAGTGAGAGGATATTCTCTTCAAAATATATTGTCTGATGATCAAGTGATCCAATGGAAGGCAACCACACTGGCGAAGATGAAAATGATAATGTTGAATCAGCTATTTTGGGAATAGCCAGAGTTTGTCTTTCCTTCTTGGACGGATCATACACAGAGAAAAAGTCTCTCAGGGAGGTCCTTACATAATTCCAAGTCCTGCATCAACACCTTCCCATCAGGAAGAACACCAGCAATGTAAAGCAAGTGCCGCCTCGCAATCCTGAACAGAACTTCAGCTGAGGCCACCAGTTTGAGATCACCATAGCCATCATCATCATCAACGGTGCCACGATAAAAGATGATTCTACATTCAAGTCTATCATATGGATGTTTAAACTTGGGGCCAAGGTTGGCTAACAGAGACAGACAAGTTCCAAAACACAATATATCAGAATGGTTACAATTTGCTGGCCAGGGGAAAGGGAAAAACCTCTCTTTAGAAAGACTGAAAGCAATGATGGTTTGAGATAGGGTATCCCCCCGGTAAAGAACCCCATCGTAACACCCGAGCCGGCGAATAGTAGAGCTCTCTCACACTGACCATGGAGGAGGAAGAGGGCAATCAATCCTTCTCCACAACAGGGGAGACTGCTGGCCTTGTCCAAAAGTGAGGATTTCACAAAGTGAAGAAAGAGAAGATATTTTCACTAACTTGTACAATTTGGTAACAGGATCAAAACCAAGGTGGTAACTGTAATCCTCCTCTTCACAATCAGAAGTATGGGAAAATTATTTATACTCCCGGTCCCGGAAAAGTATGGGAAAATTAAAATTTACAAATGACTTACCCAATTTGAAATTTTATTTTTAGTATAATTTAAATTAGAAATAAAAAATTCAAATTGGACAATAATTACAGGACGGAGAGAGTAAATTGTACTAAAAGTGAAATTTCAAATTGGACAATAATTATGGAATGAAGGGAGTAATATATTTTAAATAAATTGTCATCAATATGTAAGATAAATAATTAATTAATTAAATAGACTGTCTATGTCTATTAATAAATTTTCTAACAGTGTGTTTATGTCTTTGGCATAGTTTTAGAAATATTTTAATTGGGTAGATAAACTATTAGAATATACTCAATTAACTTTATTCAAATAAATATTCTCTCCGGTCCTTAATATAAGACATTTTGATTTGTCTTAGGTTTCACAAAATATGCATTTTTAATTGAGAAAAAAACTTTAAAAACATATCTTTACATTCGTTATGTTCTCTTGAATGTTATGAAATATTTTTAAGGTTTTTTTGTCGATTAAAAATGTGTATTAGGTGAAACCTAGAACAAAATCAAAATGGCTTTTATTAAGGACCGGAGGGAGTATTTGCCAAACGAGTGTTTCTTTTGAGAGATACTTATTTTGGGATTTATCTTTTTTGTTAAAAAAACACTTATTTTATAACAAGGGGAGTGGTATACAAAGTTTTTAAAGGATAAATAACTAATTTTCAACAATTAATATAACAAGTGAAGAACTTGGCTCTAATAAAGAAGGTAGTTTAGGTTTAGTTAATTATTTTTTCACAAACTAACGGTATATTACTCATGTCAAAAATATTCTTACACTTTTTACTTTTAAGAAAAATTCATGGGGGCAAATGTGTGATAAGATTTTCATCCACGGCATTGAAATAGTTTAGGTGTGGAAAATGAATCTGGAATTCTTGTCTTCTGCTTATTCTCTTCCCCAAATTAATCCTGTGGTTTTTCTTTTTTTCATTAATATATATCTTCTACCCTCACAATTCAAACAACTGAAAATGAAAATCCAAATGGACAATAATTTAGGAATTTGCTAGTGTGGTAAAATGCCATGTTGATTTGGCTTTCATTGTGTGATCCCTTAGGTTCAATTTGCAGAAACGCAATGCCAAGCCACCCATCTCCCTTGCAACAAATGTCAAACAAATCCAAGATCGATGTTATTTTCCCGCAGAAGACCATTTTCCAAACATGACAGACCACTCCTGAAGTATGATCAACCCAAATGAAAAGGGTCAAACTTTGTTCTATAAAATTCCGGATCTGCATAAGAAGACATCCACATTTGTCTCAGTATAATTTATTATGAGGCATGCAAAAAACTCCTAGTATCCAAGTAAAATGAAATATGAACCCAAATCATGTTAAGTACTTATTAACTTTGGGATGGAAGCTGGAGCTAGAAACCACCATAGTTCCCTTCAAAAAATAATATTTGCAGAAAACTGAGCCACATACTCTGGAACAACTCCTATGACAAAAGCTTTATAATGTAGTCTGCTAACAATTTCGTTTTCAACTTGATCAGATTCGCTGCCACTGGTAAGAATGCTTGCTTTAACCTGCCAGTATTAGTTACAACCAAGGTCAGTAAATACACAAGTGATACAAAATGATTTCTCATTCCAGAAACACTATTCCGGAATGGATTTGTAGCTAGAAAGCAGAACAGCTTTCCTCCAGACAAATAAATTTGCAGAAAGCTGAGCCAAATACTCTGGAAAAGCTCCTACAACAAAGCTTCATAATGTCATGTCTGCTAACAAGATTAACAATTCCAATTTGAACTTGTAATTGTTAAATATTTCCACTCTGTTTGGCACCCCCTCCACTGAAACCTAGATAATTATGCAGCAGAGAAACCCCAGTAAAATAGATTCTCCGTTTTGCCACCAGGTGAGATGACAAAAAGATCAATTTTGCAGGGAGAAAAAATGGTAAACCAAAGAAACAGTGGAATAAAGATGTTGACTCTTCACTTAATCATGATTTTTGGTGGGATTTTGTGGACTTTCTAGAGTGAGACATATACAAAGAAAACGATCCAACTGTCATCGACACTTGATTTTTTGGAGCCAATAATCAACTCTTTAACTGTTATGAATTATTTGATTGCAGTGCATGGATTCAGCACATTAGATAGTCTCAAGGATTTGTACGATCAAACATTCCAAAAGAATATGTTGTATAGATACTCGGATCTTATATACTTTATCTTGTATAAATGTTAACACTCGCAACAGAAGTTCACAACAAGATAATAATGGTTCAGTGTTTCAGATATTAGTGCCCAATATCTTATGCCCCCAACGGTCTCCATGCTGTACACTGTTCCAACATAAAATCCAGCCACTGTTATAGCAAGTGGAAAGTAATACATCAATTACCTCAACTGACAGTATTTCCATTTGGAAGAAAAATCGAAGGCCCAAAGTAACCTTGTATCAATAAAAGATGCAAAGAAAAGGAATTCCAACAAAACTTTACCCACAATTAACCAGTTGCTACAGGTTTTAGAGGACATAAAGCAAGTCATAATAGATATTAGCCAACATTCTGAGATGTAAATAAGAACAGATGCATAAGCTTTCATCCCTAAACAATCAAAGAGTCACAATCCAAGGGCACCAATTTTGGATGTACAAGGGACATCAAACATAGTAATCAACAGGGCTCTATAGAGCATGCAGGATTGATCAGGTAGTTCCCATCAATTTATATTGTCAAAAATGCAGATTCAGAAAAGCTCTGTGCCATTAACATAACTCTACATCAGACCGGATACTCCACAGGGAATATTAACGCATACTAGGCATTTCTTTTCTTCGTGATGATACAAGGGACTAACTAAAATAGGAGCTGCAAGGAATTGAAATCTATATACACAATTTATGTCTTGATGAATCTCAGAGTTTCCAATTTATGATGTGACAACCAATTGGTCGATGGCATTTGGGTAAATCGCTGGGCTTCCCTGGAAAGACTTGTGGGTACCAGGCTTCTAGAAGTTTTTGGACCTCACAGTCGGCCCAATTCCAGACAATAAAACGGGTTGTCCAGTGCTTTAAATTTTTACACATACAGATTATTTAATACCAATTATATAAAAATGTAAGTAGTGTTATGAAATACTCCCTCCGTCCCATAATTATTGTCCAGTTTGAGATTTCATTTCTAGTTCAAATTTTACTAAAAGTGAAATCTCAAAGTGGACAATAATGTTGGGACAGAGGGAGTATTTGATTTGATTTGATTTGATTCAACTATAATTAATATGTATTATTTTATTTACAATCAAGGAGATATGATTCTGTAATATTTAGCGTTAATAATAAGTGATTCATTTCCCACAGTTTAATCTCCTACTTTTTGTATAAATAAGGAACTCATTCATGCTTCAAAATATATCTAAATACAAGTCTATTATCTCTCTCTATTCTCTTGTCTTCTCTCTTTTGTTCTTATGCTTAGTTCATATTATTAATTTATCATTAATTTTATAACAAGTAGGGATTTCTGTTTCTTTTGATTTTTAATTATTTTATATATAAAAAAAATTAGTACAGTATAAAAAAGGGAGGGTTAAACATTGCTTTCTTTTTTGGGCTCTAATTTTCCCTTTCGTTCTAACTAGTAACTAGTGTACATTATTTTTTATATGTTTGTTTGCTAAAATGGAAAGGAAACTTTTAATGAAACAGACACCCGATAAATTTTGCTTTTCTGATTGTTCGATGACCAATGCAAATGAAAAAGAAGGAGGAGAAGAAGACGGAACTAAAAATGATAATGCTGAGATGAACGTGCTTAATTTCTGGATTAGATAGGATTAGAAATTACTACGTTAAAAGAAAGGGAATGTAATAGCAATGAGCGAAACAATGAGAAACAAACTTAAGGTGGTTTTGAACATGTACGGTGCAGACATTTAGATGTACGGTGGTTTGAGTAAAGGGGTCTGCAGAAGTGAGAATCATTAGCTCTAATTAACAAGGGAAGGCAATGGCCTGCAAAGAATTGGGAAGAAAGTAAGAAGACATTTTATTCAGACCTAAATCTATAACTTCTAGTAGTTTGGTAGATTTGACTTGCTTCTGCTAAATATTTGAACGTTAATGCATAAGCAAGGTTCTTCTACATCACCTTCTTGCACTCCACATGTATTTCTACTTATCATAAAATGCTAATAAGAGTTATTACCCAATCAACACAATCAGAAGGGAGGGTGCTTTTATTTTCGTTCAAGCTTATAAAATCCCAGAGTTTCCTGAACCTGAAACATGCAATGAAAGTTCGCTGCATCCTTTTTCATGTGAAGTGGTTGATGAATTCTGCAGCAGTTGCAACTGCACTACCAGTGATCGCATTCAACACAATCTTGTCCTTGCTTTGGTTACTAGCTGCAGACACAATAGCTCCGGTCAATGCGCCCCCGATCATTGCATTCTTCTGCAACATGAGAACAGAAAGTATAATGAACAAGCCAACACATTTAGCTAGGATCTACAAACAAAAAACTGCAAAATTTGCTGCATATGGAAGCAATTTATAAGCTATTAAACTTTTCAGACTATGGAATACAGTTACATAACCAAACTATAATAGCAACCTTTTGAGTAAAAGATTCAATTTGGACAAGCAATGTTCTAACATCCTATGGAGGAGAGGGTAAAGGAAGAAGTTCATGAGAACAGAATAAGCAGTGTTTCAGAGATTATTACCCAGTCTCTAACACCACGAACCCTCTCCACACCATACTCCATTCCAACATACAACCCAGCCACTGTTCCTGCAAGTAAAAACAAAGACATGTCCTTCAACTAATAGTCATTTTTCAAATGGAAGAAAACCAGAATGGTGTCAACCGAAAATATGAACAAAAAGTAGAGTATAGCAAAAACTTACCCCAGTATGCACCTTCTCTGCACATCTTCTTCAACTGCAAAGAAGTAAAAAGAAAATACAGGTTAAAAGCATGATGTAACCAGTTGCTGATACAGTTCTTGAAGACACAAAGTAAACTGCACTTAACAAGGAAAACTAAAAAAAAGGCTACACTGAGAAGAATATTGGTCCGTAAGATCATGTGCAAGAGTTCTAAAGCAATAAAGATATATCAAACAATCCAAGTAAACAGCAAATCAGATGCCAGACGACGGCAGAACGTAATTGTAGAATAAAGTGATTCATGAGGTTCGAAAATGCTTGAACCTCTCAACGGAAAACTAATGGCTCAACCTTAAGTAAATTTACCATGCATTGAACATGGTTATCAAATATCAATGCAACTCCGCCGAAATAGGAATATGCAAGGTGAATCAGGTAGATTTTCACAATGAAAACGGCTACAGAGAACTTTATTGCCGTAGCATTCTACCTCGGAGCATTCTACCTCAGATATATGAAGACCGAGTTAGAATTCATATTGATTATAAGTCTCTTGGAATTAACTTTGAACTGTTGCAAATGTTCATCATAACTACTAACTAAGAAGAGGTGCTGTCTAGCCTCAGCGCCAGAACTGAATTACAACTATAAATCTTAACCCTTCTTTATCATAAGGTTTGCAAGTTTGGATGGATGAGAGACATCAACAATACACAATATCGTACCAAAAATTCCATGTCATCAATGATGATACAAGCCACAAAGTTCAACAAGAAAGTCATTGAATTGAGGAGATAGTAATACAGTGAATAAATAATTCTTAGAAATCTCACCGATTTTTCAAAGTCGTGACGTGAGACACTCCCTGTAAACACCATCACTCATGTCAATAACTGAAAATTAAGCTCCAGAAATAAAAAAAGAAAAAGCATGTGAAAGGACAGAAACTACCATTCCATGATCCTAAGTACCAAAATCATCCAATAAAAATTGCTGCAACGGACGAGAAAATAACAACTAGTTTTCTTTCTCTTTTTTTCTTCTCGATTAAAATGGCCAACATGATTTCCATGGTTCTAATTCCTAGCTCCTAATTTCAAATGTATACTATGAATTAAAACTAAAATCTAAAAGTATCACTGACAGCTACCTCGTTTGGCAATGAAATAAGCTTCTTCTGCAGCTGCTTTGGCTACAGCAACCTAAAAACAGAATAGCCATAAAAAATGACAGAAGCCCAATTAATATAACAGCGATTACAAAAGAGTGTTCAGAAACCATAGTAAAGGTTGGATCTTTATGGAAAGAAAAACCAATCCCAGTTCAAGAAAATCAATTACAGAGCCGATTTTGAGGAAACCGTCAACAGTGAGGTTGAGAAATGGGTTGCCCAGGTCTACGATCACATCCACCCTTGGTGATGTTGAAAATACTGTTCTTCCCATATCCCTTTTTCTTCCGCTTTCTCTTTTTCTCCTCCCTTAATTTGCCTCACACACTCACGCAGTAGTGTCACTGACTTGTTCTTGATGAGATCTTCTTCTGTTTTTTGGTTTTTTTTTTTCCTCTTATAATTATGAGAAATGATTGGATTTTAAGGAATCCAACATGAAAATGGAGCTGTACACGTGTCACTTTCCCCACATTTTCAATACATAATATTATTATATCACCACAAAAAAGAAAGGAAAAAAAATGTATCATTGGACGAACTAATTCATCCCTATATAGGCTGTACTACAATGAAGGAAACAAATTTCAATACAGCAAATTTAGACATTTGGTGGATGAAAAATGGATGAAATTGTATTTAAATTTTCAATCACACTTTCATCTTCAATTGTGCATCCTTTACATCTTACGGCCTTTGCTATTTATTCTCTCTTCATCAAATCCTAAATGCCCATACTATGACGCTCAATATCTTCATTTCGCTATCATACACTTTCTAGTATTCACTTTGTATACAATGAGAGTGAAAATTTTATTCAACGTAATTCAGGACTAGATGATAATGGCATAGGTTACATGTCAAACACCAATTAATTCCGTAACAAAAAGGTTGTAACCAAAAATGTTGAGACATTGGAACAGAATAGTTAATGTATATACTAGTGATGTCTGGTCGCGCAATGCGCGACCCTGGCCCAATATATATGTATATCTTAAAAATATTTGTATTTGGAAAAAAAATATTTTGTATTTGGCCCGATATATTTAAGAAATGTTTGAAGAATTTAGAAATGTTTTATAAGTGTGATCATAAAAAAGTTTATATTTGGCATAAAAAGAAATTGTATTTGACCCAGTACGTTTTAGAAATGTTTGAAGATTTTAGAAATGTTTTATAAGTGTTACTTCTTAAATATAAATAAACTTGATCAAATATATGTCTTGAATTAAATGCTAGAAAAATATAAAAGCATCCTAATAAGTTTAAATATTAGTAAGATAATTTATTGATATTCTCCGGTTGTGCCAAATCAATACTTAGTTTTGGAGATTTATAATAGCTTTGTAGTAAGCTTCCTCCCAAGAGTATACGCTTAATTGTTGAAACTATTTCTTCCAAAAGTTTATAAGTAGTAAAATATCAAAAATATAATTTTGAAACTGGTTAATTGATGAAATTGGTTGATCACAAATATGAGAATGAAAATAGTGTAAATTTGCATAGGTTTCAAGTTATACTAAAAAAGAACTCACCTCACCATGGCAAATAAAAAAAAAGAAAGTAAAAGATAGCCCATTTAAAATTGAGAAATTTATTTTTTCGTAGGTAAACATGTTGTATAAAATACAAATAAACGTAGAAACATCATTCTTTCCTCTCCGCTTCAAATTCATAAAAGGCTTCCCGAAATTAGTTAGAAGAAGCGACTGAACTATTTAGATGATGAGAAACTAAAAAAGTCCAAAAACCAAAATTCAAAAAGTATATTCTTGAAAGTCCGAACACAAAAAAAAACGCGCTTTACTTGCAAATAAAATAAAATAATAATAATAATAATTGGTCAACTGAGAGTATGAAACAAAATAAAAAACAATTAAACAAAGAAAAAATATTTTTCGAAACTGACCATATACGAAAAAAAACTGAGACTCCATAATTAAAAAAAGAAAACCACTCTAATTGAATGAAACATTAAAAAGAAATTTAAAAAACCACACTTTGTAACAAAAACTCAATTAATCAATTCAATCCAAAGAGGACTAAAATCATACAAAACTTATAGGCTAACTAACTATATAAGAAATCACATCATATTACCTGACAACGGCTATGGTAGCTATAACGGATGGTTGTATAAAAATAATAGTAATAACACTATTCTTGAGCAGGAAAAACAAAAATAATAAAAACCAAACAAATGATCATGGAAATAAAATCATTTAAATTTTAATACCGTAATTGCACCACCACAACGGCCAAAGCAAGATCAATGAGAATTTTTTTTTTCCTTTTTGTTTATATAGAAAGGTAAAGAGAATATTTTTGAAATGGAAATTTTATCTGATCAGGATGTAGTTGATTATCATTAATGAAAAGATTGAACATACTAATAGGAAATGAGTATATTTCACCACATATTCTCAATTGATGATTGATGAGAAATTTGTTTTTTTTTTTTTATTGTGGAGAAGGGATTGATTAGGGAGTCGATTGTCGTGGAGATGGGGATGATGATTTGGGTTTTTTATGAACCCGTCTTTTTTTTTTATTTTGGCAAAAATAGGAGGTGGAGGTGAATTTGAACTGCATTTACCTTTTAAGTCTAGGAGATGTGAAAATAAAGATTTATTTTAAAAATATGATGTGGAAATGCCACATGGCAAATGGTGGTGCTTTCTCTTAAATGTGATTTTTGTTTCTAATATAGTAAGATGTGAAAATAAAGATTTATTTTAAAAATATGATGTGGAAATGCCACATGGCAAATGGTGGTGCTTTCTCTTAAATGTGATTTTTGTTTCTAATATAGTAAGATATATACACACCAAAAATGTTATCTTTAACCAGAAATCACCAGAAAGGCACAAAAGAAGACAACAGAAATACCCTCTCTTTTTTTTTTTTTTAAAGAAAAAAACTGACAAAGAGATATACCAAATCAGTAAATCACTGTAATGGTACAACCTAGAACAACTCGACACATCTATAAGAATAGTCCAATAGATGTAACCAACTTTCAGTCTCCAAAATCCAAATCTCCAAAGACAAAAACACAGATAAATTAATCTTCAAAAAAAAAAAACTTCTGCAGTTTGTTGTAACTGAGTTGATCACATCTATCATCTATGGATTCCAGTTCCACGCACCATCAAAAACAGAAGCTATATCAAATCTTGATGCTGCCATGGTTAGGACATGGTCATGTATCCCCTTTCTTAGAGCTTGCCAAAAGACTAGTAGCCATGAAGAACAAAAATTTCCAAGTTTTCATGTGCTCCACTCCAGCAAATTTAGCTCCCTTCAAGCAGAAAAGCACTGCAGATAATGATGATAACTTGATTCAATTCATTGATCTTCACCTTCCTTCCAGCTCAGAACTCCCACCTGATCAACATACCACCAAGAATCTCCCACCACATCTCATGCCTGTTCTGAAAACTGCCTTTGATGAAGCAAAAGATAACTTCCATGGCATCCTTAGGGAACTGAAACCTGATATTTTGATTTATGATTTCATCCAGCCTTGGGCTGCACTAGTGGCTCAACAAGAGAGCACCCCAGCTGTGCTTTTCTTGACTACTTCTGCAGCCAGTTCTGCCTTCATTTATCACTCTGCCGAATTTGATGATGATTATCCCATCCCCGGGTTGGAATTCGTGGCGAATCCACGAGGAGAGCTCCTTAAGTTCCTGTATGATGTATCCAATGGGTTGACAAACAAGGAAAGATATTTCCAGTGCATTGGAAGTTCGTGCGGAATCATACTTATTAAGACCTTGAATGAGATTGAAAAAAACCATATCGATTACCTGTCTAGGTTGGTAAGAAAAGATATTGTCCCTGTAGGTCCTTTAGTTCAAGGACCCGAGAATAAATCTAGTGATGAATCCTTCCTAAAATGGTTGGATCAGAGGAAGGATTCCAAGGCCGTTTTTGTTTCGTTTGGGACAGAATACTTTCTGTCAAAGGAAGAGATTGAAGAGGTTGCTTATGGGTTGGAGCTCAGCAATGTGAGCTTCATTTGGGTACTTAGGTTCCCTGGAAGTGCTAATGTTACTGGCTTGGATCAGGTTCTACCAAAAGGGTTTCTAGACAGGCTCTCGGGAAGAGGTATGGTTGTCGAAGGATGGGCCCCGCAAGCGAAAATACTCAGCCACGAAAATGTCAGAGGTTTCGTAAGCCACTGTGGATGGAGCTCGACGCTTGAGAGTATAGTGCTTGGTGTTCCGATTGTGGCCATGCCTATGCATCTCGACCAACCTTTCAATGCGAAATTGGTTGTCGATATCGGGGTTGGAATCGAGGTCCCCAGAGAGCCTGGGAAGTTGTACAGGAAGGAAGACGTAGCCAGGGTGATTAGAGAAGTTGTTGCGGAAGAAAAGGGAGATAAAGTGAGAAAGAAAGTGGAAGAAATGAGCCGCACAATAAAGGAGAAAGGTGATCAAGTCATTGATAATGCAGTGGAGAAACTTGTACAGCTTGTTGAAGATAAGCCATGAACAATGCTCAACAGTTGCAACCGCAAATGTAGAAAGGGAAAACACATAGAAAAGCAGAATAATGTGTTCTTGGAATAGTGTCCAATAAAGATCTGTAGTAGCAGTGTTGAAGTAGAACAGGTTTATGCTTTTACTGATTTGAATAACACTTGGTTGTATATTTCGATTGATTGCTGGCCAATTAGCATAAATATAAAATCCACTTTGTGCTTTTAATTTCATCTCAATTCATTTATCCGTCCCTAATTCCCAACTTCAAAACTTAGAAAGGTCATAGAAACACTAAAGATTTGTAAAGTTTCCAGCGATCATGCCTTTTTCAGATTTTGGGTGTGCGGCCGCCGGGAAGAGAAGAGACTAGGCTAATGTTGGGAGATATACACATAATGCCAGAAAATAGCAAACCATGTCTCATCATCAAAAACATGCCACATTGGGAAGATGGAGGTTTCTGGCCTATATATGATGAACTAAGCGCAGCCACCACAATCCGGCTGCTGTCAGAGAGGGATTTTGTCTTCTCTAATTGATTGTAAGGGCATAATTTCAACAGCTCAACTAAAAATCTTACCCGTACTTGAAACTTTACTCTGGTCAGTCTTTCTGTAAAGAACAGGGGAAATTTTTGAACCAACAACAACAAAGTTAATAAAGGTTAGTGACTAATCAATTCATGTAGATTCACAACTCAGTGTCAATTTCATACAAACCTGCCTAACTACTACTATGCAGAATTAAAGAGCAAAAACAACATAGCAGCACAACTAAACCACCAAACTTGTATTCAGAAACAAGTGACAGTGGTTCCCTTGGCATTCAATATTAGTTTTCTCTGGTCAGTTCAGAACATCATTTTTAATAGCAAAATGATCACACGAAAAACAAAATTAAACAGGGTAATGTAATCCAATAGCACATCGCATAAAATCGTCAGAAAATAATTGCAATAGTATTTGACAACAAGTCACCTTCCACAAAACCAATCAACTAGTCATCAATCATGGCGACTCTTTCTGGTCTACTTCTTCTTCTCAGTCTTCCTGCTCCTCCTCTTGTGCGACCTATCCCCGGAAGAATCCTTGTCATCATCCCTCCTTCTCCGTTTCTCCTTTTTCCTCTTTCCATCGTCCTCAGAAGAATCACTGTTCTCCTTCTTCTTCCCACCACTCCTCTTCTTCGACCTTCCCCTTTTCTCCTTATTATCCTCACCATTCTCCCTTCTCTTGCTTGATTCGACTTTGAATTTTTCACCAGACTTCTTTGCTCTCGCTGCAATAATTTCCTCGATTGCCGAATCGTACTCAGAATCTGAAAAATCCGACTCTTCTTCTTCCTCCTCCCCATCAATACTTTCATCCTTCCCTCTTTTCTTTTTCTCCTCAGATGTCTGCGGCTGACGAGTCAACTCGGGTACTTGTTTTTGCTTAGAAGGCTCCTTAAAACTCAAAAATTCCTGCAATCCGTGTACAAATGCCCAACATTCCGCACCTCCGACAACCTTTTCCGGCTTGGGAACGATCTCCGTATAATATTCCAACAAGTTCCGGGAAGCTTCTTTCATGTTAACGGGTGGTTTGCTACGATCATCTTCATTCTCCGGAGCGTATGGATCGTGCCCAATCACGCTCTTCCAGATAGTCATAAAAGTATTTGTCTCACGAAAGAATCCAGATAGTGTGAGTCTGTAGGGCTGCGCTACTATGCACCGATTGTTCGCCGGCATTCGAACCCTTCCCCGTGGCCGGCATCTTTACTTGCTTATAATCGACAAAAGTATCAATTTGGTTTCCTTTTTGGAACTCCAATTCGGGGAAATAAACCTAAATTAAGGATCAGAATGACGGTGATATATTATACTCTCTGTATATTTAAAGGAGAAGAGAAGAACGATCAGAATTCAGTTCCGAAACCGACTTGTGTTTCTTCATTATGGCGGTGAGAAAAAAAAAACAGTGGGAAGAAAGTGTGCCGCCAATAACAACAACAGTCCTTTAAATCTTGGGAAAAGGAGAACATATCTCTAAATTATGTCCCAAAGAAATTTCTATAAAGACAATTACCCTTTCACTGCCGGTCAAGAGCAAAAGTGAGGCGAAATGGACCCAAAAAAATGTGTGTGTAAGATACAAAAATAATACACTTTTTAGATTAAAACAATTTTTTATGAACTTTTTATCCTTTTTTTCAATGATTTATTTTCCTTAACAAATCGTTAAAAATAAAAAGTAATTTATCTGAGGTTCAATTTTGTTTTTTAAAAAAGGATATGATCTATCGAGAAAAAGTATTATAATTTTACCTAGGTCTTGAAAACAAAAAACTAAATAGTAAACTTGTTTTTCAGAAAAAAAAAAAAAACAAAAACAAAAACAAAAAAAGGGTATTGAACACCTATAGTAATCAACAATAGTGGACTGCAATGTTCACTTTGGATGAGGAAGGACGCAACGGTAGAAAGGTAGCAAAAATCAGGGACTAAACTGCAACCCTCATTTTCTTTATTTATTCGGGAAGAGCCATTATTTAGTTTAGGGTATTAAACTTTACTCAACAGAGTAGGATCCCGCTCCAGAAAAATCAAGAACATCCAAACAAAAAACGATGGGAAGAAAATTCTTTGTGGGAGGAAACTGGAAATGCGTATGTTATTATTGCTTCTCATAGAATTAGAATTCTGTCAGACTTCACCTTAGCTTGCCGGATGTTTAATTTGAATTGTAATTCTGTCGGACTGATTTCAAGATCTTCATGTTGTTTTTTTTAAATAACAGAATGGCACAAGCGATGAGGTTAAGAAAATTGTCACTTGGTTGAACGAAGCTGAAGTTCCTTCAGAAGACGATGTGGGTAGGTGCTTTTTGTTTTCAGTTTTCAGAAAAAAGAGGGATGTATTATATCTGGCTTTTTTGTTCTGCTTTTTGGGTTTTATTTGATTGTAACCTGTTTCTTGGATGCACAGAGTTTACAGAAGCTTAGGGGATAATTGTTAGTTTGAAGTTGCTAAAATGAGCACTTTTAAGTTCCTTTTTGGTATAGTATAACTGCACCGTGAATATAGGGGATTCATGGTTATCGATTTTGTTGAAGCTTGTTTAATTGATCCTTGCTTTTTTTGCCATTTGCTATGGTCTTCCTTGGATTTCATCTTTTATGTACTTTTTCAGTTTTTGTTTTGGTGGTTCTTTATTAATGCTTTAACCAGCTACCTTTTTTTATCACCATTTTGATGGTTTGATGATCATTGGTACTATTGTTGTTTAAGTTTCCTAGGTTATATGTAGTTGAAATCTTTGCTTCTCCTTTGGTTTTCAGAATGTGTTAAACCTTTTCATTTCTTGCAGAGGTTGTCGTTAGTCCTCCCTTCGTGTTTCTTTCGCTGGTTAAAACCTTACTGCGGTCTGATTTTGCCATTGCTGCTCAAAACTGCTGGGTCCGCAAGGGGGGTGCCTTCACCGGTGAGATCAGGTATATATGGTGTGATCCTCTCCTTTTCTATTGTTATACTTTGCCATGATGCTTCTAGTAGTTTTTCATACAGAATTTTGAGGATCATACTTCTCCAAGAATTTCGCGTGTTGATAGTTGGTTGTGTTTAGGTTCTTGGAAGATGAGTTTTCATTACTAGATTGCGGTTGTTTACATTGTCTTATGCAGTTAAATATTGTGACACCTTTATGTCAGTACATTTCTCATTGGGCCTCTTTCAGGCATGAAGCCATTAAAATTTCTGCTGAGTTGTTTTTTTTGTTGGATTATTCATCTAACTATCTAAGTTCAGTTTCTCCATAGAGTGATTGGCTTTTGATAGAGTTTTTCGTGCTTTTCGGGTACGTAGATAAGGATTGTATTCAGTTATATGTCCTTACACTTTACATTACTCCAACACAGTGCTGAGATGTTAATCAACTTGGGCATTCCCTGGGTCATTCTTGGTCACTCTGAGAGAAGACTTCTACTAAATGAAACGAACGAGGTGAAATATTTTTCATGTTGATGCGATACTACTTTTCTGGTTTGATTGATCCTATAGTGAAACATATTGGGGTGTGATTGTGTAAATACAGTTTGTTGGTGATAAAGTTGGTTATGCCCTTACTCAAGGTTTGAAAGTGATTGCTTGTGTTGGTGAGACCCTTGAGCAGCGAGAATCTGGATCTACGATGGCCGTAGTTGCAGCGCAAACAAAATCTATTGCAGGTTAAAACCGACAACCTTAATTTGAATTAACAAAGTAAATGACTAAGAATGAATATTCTAGTGAACGACTAAGAATGAATATTCTTTTTGCTGAATTAGCTTCTGTGAGAAGGACCTTAAGTATTGAATGCTATTGTTTGACTACATGTTGGTCATTTGAAGTATAACATTTCAATAAGAATTATAGTTTGTCATCCTTCATATTAACCATCAACCTTTTGTGGAAGAAAGAAAGTATATGGTTCGCCCTATTTTGTTGCTATTGCATCGCTCTAAAAAATTTGTTTATCATTTCCTTGCTATTTTGGGCTTTTTCCTAGAGGATGTATGAGATTCTGTTTCTTTTGCAGAACATATTTCGAACTGGTCCAACGTTGTCTTGGCTTACGAACCAGTTTGGGCCATTGGTACTGGAAAGGTTGCTACTCCAGCTCAAGCTCAAGAAGTAAGTTTCTCTCCTTGGAATTTTATTTTGTGTTACGTTCTGATGAAATCTGCATTTGGATTCTTTACTTTAAAAATTCCTTAAATTATTAGTTTGACAATAAGGCATTGCTCTCTTGATATAATATATGTGCTCAATAAAACAAATTTACGGTAGCCAGGCTTGTCTTAGTATTAGGTTTTGTTTTGGTAGGGATGAAGTAAAATGTTTGACGAGTATTTAATGTAATTCAAAATGATATCCATGCTTATTTCAGGTCCATTCTGAACTGAGGAAGTGGCTGCATGAAAATGTTGGTCCTGAAGTTGCCGCATCAACAAGAATAATATACGGAGGTAGCCTATTTTGTTTTCCTTTGTTTGCATTTTCTAGTGATCCATTGTGGACATTTATCATAGTTGTACCTGGGAAGAAGGAATCAAGTTTATCAGGAAACATCACGATATTAGTTCGTTGGTTGGACCTTCGACAGATACTCATTCTTCGATGCATACTTCTTTGTTCATTGTATATCTATCTTTGTTCTCTGTTCTCTTTTCCTCCTTTTGCCTGTGGTTCTACAAACTGACCATAGGCAAGAGTTGAATGAGTACTTTCCTTCGTCTGTTTTGGTTTGCTAGTGCTTATTCCTTGATGTAAATGCAGGTTCTGTGAATGGAGCAAACTGCAAAGAACTGGCAGCAAAGCCTGATGTTGATGGATTTTTGGTTGGTGGAGCCTCACTCAAGGTTTGTAATTTATAAATTTATGCATTTTAGATTCATTCTTGTTCTCATCGCGATGGTAACACTCTTCTGAAAATGTTTCCGTGTTGTGATCAGCCCGAGTTCATCGACATCATCAAGTCTTCAACTGTGAAGAAGAGTACTTAAAAAGTATACATGTAAGCAGGATGTTGGGAAATATCTGCCATTTCTTGTCACAATCTACTGGTTTGTCCGGTTTTTGTAAAGATGGAACCAAGTGTGTAATAATGCAATGAGATAATTACCTTTTGGGCTTTTTGTTCTGACTTCCTTGCTTCATGTACCCACCTGAAGTTCCTAATCCCTCTATCCTTGGTTTCGTCATATGCCTTTTAATCTGCTCACTTTTAGCTTTTGCAACTCACTTTGCAATTGGATTAGTCCACAAAGTGTTAAAATTGTTTTTTTTTTTTTTTGAAAAAGCAAAGTGTTAAATTGACTTTGATGGGTGATCACATCAAAGCCCTTGAGTACTAGTTACCATGGATTAGTGGGAGTCTCATTCTTGACAAATTTAAGGAAACTTTTATTTTATTATTAGTGTGAAGATCTCTGTGTCAATAGGTATACAGTGCCAATTCCTACTTCTAAAGACAGAACAAACAAAGGTCCAATTATTCTGCACTAGAGTCCAAGTCAACATTTGAAGTCAGAAGTAATTTGTGATTTGTAACAATGAGTTGAAAGAGTTACTGTTAGCTAGTAACTAGTGTAGACTTTAAAGCCATCTACTGTTACATGTGACTTGATTAAGGGTAGGCTAAAAATTCACTGAAACCCGTGGTTAATTTATCGTTTAGCTAGTTGTGGTCTGTGTTCCTTGTTTAATTAGTAATCCAGTTTGGTTAAAAGTACTAAACAGTTTGATACTACCTCCGTTCTACAAAAATAGTTCATATTGAGTTTTCAAATTTGTATTAAAAACAGTACAAAATTCAAAACTTAATGTGGACTATTTTTGTGAGACGGAAGGAATAAAACTTTACTTGTACATGAACAATCCTTATACATGTAGCTGTCAGCACTTAACTTGTACGCTGAGTAAGAGAAGAACATTGAGATGATTAAGAAAGCAAATCATGGTTTGCTAGTTTAGACAAATTAGAGGTGAATGGGGGAAGAAAAGAGCCTAGAATGATTAAGGCGAGCAAGTAAAGCAGCAGCAAGTAATCCGCAAAAGTATTACCTGTAATTGCCAATTGGGGGGATTTGACTTGGAAAGGAGGGTGTTCTTTTTGTTCGCAGACAGCCAATTTCCGAGGACCATATATACAGAGTGACGTTGACTGGAGTGATTTGCCAAGCCACAAGACTTGGATTAGCAACTAAGAAAGTAAAATAAAATAAAAAATTGAACGAAGCACATAACAATAAATAATCAAAACGTAGGAGGGAGGTTGCTTCAAAAGTGGATATCACGAGTCAATTTATGAGTCACCAGAACATTACAATTGTCAACAATTTTGTCACACTGCCAGGGGATGAAACAATTTTTTTTTAAAAAAAAAAATGGAAGTAATTATCTGTCATTTATATTGTCTGGTACAAAAACGTACCCTCTCCATTCCAAAATAAGTATTGTTTTAGCAAAATGAAAAAATTTCAAAATAAATGTCGCTTTCAAATTTCAATGCACTTTTTGTCCAAAATTTTGAAAATTATTCTCAAAAGAATTAATACTATTGGTGGACATTTTTTTAATAGGGTTGTTCGAAGATATTCAAGTAATTTTATAACACTATTTAAGAGTTTCTTAAACTATGTGCAAAGTGTAGGATGACACTTATTTTGAAATGGAGAGAGTAATTAATTAGCAAAAAAGAACCCTTCTTTTGTTTTACTATATATATACAAACAAAAACATACATGGTGTAAATTAGAATTGGGAGAACCAACAGATCTTACGTATGGAACTAAAAACAAGGTACTATAAAATCAGGATATTGGGATGGTTTTGGATGCACAAGTGGAAATGTGAATGGGGTTGACAAATTTCATTTTTGTAGGGGCCAATATTTATGATACATTTTCTGTCATGCAAAAATCAGAAAACAAGCTATAAAGCCAGGCAGGGAGGGGGATGAATCATAAATGAATGAATGAATATAATCCCTTTGCACTACTTGCAGAGGAGACCCACCCACCACCCCCGACCTGACCGCCCAAATCAGATTCTTAGAAAAACATATTTAACTGCATTTCTTGTCTCTTCACTCGAGGTTGAGAGATATATAGGAAAGCCACGCAAATCAATCAAATTGCACAATTCTTAAATGCTAGCAGTAGCTAGTAAGTATGAATGAAGTTGTTGATTTGATTAAACAGAGACTGATGATGAGAATTGAAATTATTTGGTGTATTTGTGAGGATGGGGTTTGTTTTCACTTTTCAATCGTATCGTTCGTTTCACTCGTTTTCCATATAAAGTTTATATATATATATTTGCGTTCATGTGTGTCTCGCCAATTTTAAAATTGTTCCTCATTAGTTCTCCTAAAGGCAGCTGCTTTTTGTGTTTAAGAGTTTATATGGAAATCACGGAACTGAATCAAAACACACCCCTTTTGCAATTCATGAATTAATCACAACCATCTTCTTTCTCTTTTGTGTGTGTGTGTGATGGATGGTTTCCATTATCATTGTGAATATTTGTAATTTAAAGGGTATGTTTGATATTAATTCGTATCCACTTCAATTATGTTATTATCTATTATTTTTTCTGTCCCAATATGATTGTCCAGTTCGAGAATTTATTTCTAGCACAATTTATATTATAAATAAATTTTCAAACTAGACAATTCTGGAACAGAAGAAGTATCTAAATTTCGTTATTTGGTGATAAGTTTTGATACACTTGATGAAAATTATTTAGGCAAAAGAAGACCTTAAAAAGTTATATGCAACATTAAGACGGTAAAATTAATCCGCATTTCTTATATCGTACCGCTTTGCAATGAAACTACAGGTTTTGATCAACATTTTGGTGCGTCTAGTTAGTCATCTTGTGTGAATTTTGGCCAGACTTTCTAGAAAGTCTAGTTAGAAGTATGGAAAATTTAAACTATTAAAAAAAAAAAAAGACCTATGAGACCTACTAGTCCTTGTTGATTCGTCATCGCCCTTACGATGTACTGGTACGGTACACTCCAAATTTAAATAGGTTGACCCTTCACAATTTCCCAAGTTTCCTAAACTGACAGACTTTCAGTGCAGCAATGTCGATACGTTTGACTTTGATCACAAAATATTCATTCATAAAAAATTACTAACTCCATTATTAATTGGATATTTGTGTAGTCAACGTCAATGTTTTTTTTTTTTTTTCGGATTGGTGAAACCGTGATAGAGAAGCTAGGCGAAGAAGAGGACCAAAATTGGTAGCAAGCAGAAAGTAATTGGTGGTCTTCAATACTAACACAAGCATTCGATTATGGAGCAACCAAAAATCTCTTAACTTCCTTCCTATCCATTTTAGTGGTCCATTTTTCACCTTTGAGTTTGGCATTGTTTTTCGCCATAGACGTATTGATAGTAAACATTGTGTTTATTCTCTTTGTCATCATTCATTTACAAGTAGTAGTAACTAGCAAGTACATTAAGATAGGGTTGTACTCCCTCCACTCCTTATTATAAGTCACTTTGGTTAGTCTTAAATTTCAACTAGTAGTCATTTTTAATTGACAAAAAATTTTAAAAATATTTCCTAACAATTAAAAGAACAAAACGAATGTGAAAATATATATTTTTGAGATTTTTTTTCTCAATAAAAAATATATACTAGATAAAATTTAAAACAAATCAAAATGGCCGGCGGGAGTACTACGTGCTAACAATGGGGTTTTTGGTTATCTAATGGCCCTCTTGTAACTCTAATAGTATTCGTATTGAAAAGAAGTATTTCCTCAGTCCCAGAATTATTGTCCAGATCGAGATTTCACTCTTAGGTTAATTTGAACTAAAAATGAAAACCCAAACTGGAGAATAATTATGGGACGGGAGAGTATAAAAAATAATATTTTGATTTTCATAGAATTCCGTAAAAAGTTAATGCTTGTCATATTTACAGATATATAAACATTTCAACCAAAAAAAAAATGTAGGGACCAAATGATGAGATTAAGAAGACGATCGCGGCTATATAACGTATCAGTTTTCGTGATTTGGATTTGAATACCCAAATTTTGTGTGTAAAAGTACTTTACCGATTAACTCAAACTCGAATTGATAACGAATATTTTTGTTATATACTCATGAATTATGTTCATGTTAAAACTCAGTATTAAAAAAAATCGCTTTACCGACTAATAAATAACTTGTAAGTATATGTTGTTAAACCAAACAAGATCACTGCTGGGTCCAATATACGATAATTCTGGAAGGCGCCCATGAGATGAGATGAGATGATAGAGAGGTGACAGTGATGTGCAGGCCATTTTGACTGAAATTGACTTTTCTGACACTACTTTTCCGCTGTACCTTTTGACTTTCGACTTCCCGAATTGTTTGTCCTTTTTTTAAAAATTTTCATGACCTGGATCAATTTTGTAGTACTAAATAAATCCTAAAAATATGCCGTCACCGTTGGATACACTTTTAAGTATTAAAATTTGTATTAGACATAAAATCATTCATACTTTTGACTTATGTTGTAGTGTTTTTAAACCAGGAGAATGCGTAGATAATCACACTGATAAAGTACTATATTTTAAAGGGAAAAAACTATAGACTTACACTGATATATTTACACTTTCAAGTAGTATTAAAAAGAAAGAATAAGAAGAATAAGTACTTTTTAATTTATCTACTTTAGCAAGCAGATGAGGTTTAATGATGATGATGATGAGAATGATGGATTTATTACACAATTTTTCTTCTCTCCTGACCGCCAATCTCGTCAATAAACTGACCACCCGCCCTACTTTGACAATGTCGATCCCGCAAAAATACAAATTTATTTACCGAATAATTGTCCAAACCAAATACTATAATTCTGCCAAGAATATTTATGTGGCACAATTTGTTTGATGTTTATGTAAGCATATTAAGAGTCAAAATGAACTGTTCATAAGAAATCATCTTGCATTATTTCTTCTTTTCTAAAATCCAAAATAGTCGATCATTTTAAAAGAAAAAACAATATACATTCTAATTTCTCGTGATATAAAAAGAATAAAAGACTAACACCCGATGCTAATAGAATTTTTTCAATGAATCATCACTTATTAGGATTGAGAGCGGTCTGAAGTTTCTAAAAACCTGGGGATATATTATCGTGTCCCTATATACAAGGCACGGAATTAAAAATTATAATTAGTTAAGAATTTTATCTTATAAATAGGATATTTATTTGTCTTCTTCCTGTTTTTCCCTTAACACCACCGGATGTATTTTAACAAAATAAAGTATGGTAATCCCCTTCTTTCAACATAGTCTATATTGAGTTTTACTATTTGAATTATTTTTAATAAATCTTAAAATTCAATGCGAAGCTGACGTGACCGCAAGATAATATTTAGGGAGATGAAGGATTTAATTATGGTGTTTTAATTTGACCTCTAAAGATCTTGTAAAAGAAGATACATAAATTATTTTTCATATTTGGTAGTGCAAAAAATCTAGGGTGTTCATATTTGGATAAGAAGCAACAAATCAAATTAATTAATGTAAGCTAATCAGAATGATCAACCATTACTATAGTACTATTGTACTACTACTATTCTAAAGTGCATTATTATTTAGTAACTCAAAAAGTGACGTGCAGAGAATAATATTAGCCTATTAGGAATGACTCGGCTCTGCCCTCATTACGTAAGGAGTGATGGACTACCAGCCGAGCCTATTAGCCGCCGGCTATTTCTATTACCAAGCCGAGCTGGTTAGTTACTATACACGTAAATAATTTTTATAATTTATCATTTTCCGTGGCTACAAGAAACGATTGTATTAGCAAAATATACCAACTCGGAACTCGCCTTACATGCAGCCATTGCATTTGACGTTTTATATATTATCCTTCAAGATTTCTTCTTCTTTTTTCTTTTTTTTTTTTTTTTGGGGGACAATTTGAATATAATTATGAATGAGATTAATAACAAAAATCCAAAATATAGCGCTAATCATTTTGATAAGCAAAAAATTATTATTTTAGTGAATCACAGACGTTTAAAATCCTTTTTCGATATCAAGTAACATTAATTATTGTTTCAACAAATTACAGACGTTTAAAATTCTTTTTCAATATTAAGTAACATCACATCAAAGTTGTGTGACATGAATTTTTTTCTTTATCTCTCTTTTTCTTCTTTGGTTGCAATCAAACCAAATCAATAATCGTTCATGATATGCATTACAACCACATAAGAGAAAACGATGGATGGATCAGAAGCACCATGGATTTGAATTTGATGCACAAGAACTCTAGAGTACGGTGGAAAGGGAATGTTGACTAAAATTATTTATATATATATATATATATATATATATATGTAATGAAAAGGGCAAAATGGGCGTATAGCAGCTAGGAGCTAGCTACTAAGATGATCAGAAAGCAATACGAGGAATAAATTAAACCAAACACCTACGAAAAACCTCTCGTTTTCCATAAAAAGGTTTTTACTCCTTCATAATCACAGGATGGGGTTGTTCATTGGTTGGTAACGTTCAAACTTGGCAAATGGGTCTGTGAGTGTTCACGGGATTCTTTTGGTTATTGGATCTATGGTTAATATCTCCACACCCTATTGTTGTATTTTAAGATTAAGTATATGAAATGTAAACTCAATATTGCTAATTATCCTTTTAAATTTTTTGGTCCACATTAAACTCAACTTTTTCTTATCACAATTTTTATATTTTAATGATTGTATAATTTAAGTTTTCAATTTTAGCATAAATTGTATTAAAAGTAAAAAATATAAACAATACAAGAAAACAATAATCTTAGAACATAATAAATGTATATTAGGAAATAATTGTTGGGCTTATTCATTTTTCATGGATACAGATAATATATAGAAACTTATTTGGCGGCACATAGATAGAGTCAACATTTCACATAGGTCGGTAGGCAAACTGTACTCGTGGATCCTTTTTTAACTTAAAAGTAGTCTTACAAAAATGTTTTTGGTGTATCTTTCATCTTTCCAGCTATGGAACCCCCTTGCTTTTTTAGCTCAATATTTTCTTGACTAACAACTATTTCAAATTGAAAAAAAAAGAGAGGAAATATTAAATATTCCTTATGTCATAAAATATTGTCTAATTTGAAATTTCACTTTTATTATAATTTGAATTAAAAATAAAAATCTAAATTAGATAATCATTTCGGGACGGATAAATTATATCAGAGAGTATGCCGTATCCAATAATAATTACTAGATGCTTGCCCCGGGCAAATACCCGGGGTGGCGCCTGTATTTTTAAATCGATTAAATAAAAAATACGAATCATTATTAAAAGAATAAAAAAATAGAAAGAATAAAAAATCGATTGAATAGACAGAAAGTGAGTTATTACACATAAATTTATGCCCAGATTTATAATATTTAATTTACAACGGTTAACTTATGCCCGGATTTAGATAAATCATAAACCTATATTTACAACAGAAGAATAAAAAAAATCATCATTAAAAAATTAAATTTCTTTCATGACAGCTTATTTTTTCTCTATTGTAGAAAGAAATAGATTGATAATTGATGTCATATTTTAAGTAATTGATTTAAAGGCCCGGGTGTGAGAGAAGAGCGGAGAAGAGATTCTTTGAAATTGGGGATTGGAAGGACATTACTGGTGTTTCACTTGATTTAAGGGGATTTCCTTACATTTGATTTTATCAATTAAATATTGTTATTTTAAGAGATTAGTATATACCTATAATTAAGAGATTTTTATGTAGCTATAATTAAGGGATTTATGTATTTATCTATTTCATCTTTTTTTTTTTCTGATTAGTTAGAGTGCCAAGTGTCAACAATAATTTTGTACTGAAAATGACTTTTGGCAGAAAAATTTTCATTGTGGTGTTGACACATGTCCTTTTTATTTGGTGCTTTAATTAAGTACTATAAATATGGAGGAGGTCAAGAATTACTGGTAACATTGAGCAATTAATAGCCCTTAGTACTATTCAATTAGAAGATACGGTCAAGAGAATCAGATCATTATTAAATTGGCGCCCGATCGTTATAGTCCCTAGAATATATTTCAATTTAATTTTTCGTCCTTGATATTTTTTAGGTGAAAAAATTAGTTGTTAAATTTATTTATTTTTTTGTTGAAAATTAGTCCTATTCGTGGATCCTGTCACTATTTGGCCGAAATCTGAATTGTTTTACTATTTTTAAGAAATAAAAATTACCAATTTTCCTTAATATTTTATAAAATTATCAATTTTACTCCAATTTTTTAAAAAATTGTTATGCAAATTGTTTTTATCATGGACATTAAATAATACCCCTAATGTTATTACTAGTATTAGTTGATCAACTAAGTAGGCTGGCAGTGGGTGTTATCCCATAAAACTAAACCGGGAATGCGCGCCAGCCCGAGCCACTCAGGAGCCGACCAAAGTCACCAAACACCCAGAAATAAATCCAAAGTGCAAAAAAGAAGAAGATACGATGATGATGTTACGAGAATCCATCATCCAGATCATCGATTTATTAATGTAATCCAACGACTCAGAATCAAACACTTGCAAAATTTCGTCTTTGAATGACACTCTTCAGTCTCCGTCAATATACTTACAAGTAGCGATAAAGATACCATTTTTTTTTAATCGAAAAAATAAAAATAAAAAATAAAACGATTTGAGAAGAAGAAGAAGAAGGGAGGAAGGCAACAAGGCAAAGGCAAAAGGCTGCTTTCAATTCATTTCAATTTCTTGAGCCAAAGGCTGAAAAGTGTGGGCCATACTTTTCCCCCGCCCGCCATTAATACCAAACCCCAGCTTTCCCCAACCATCATCCTTCCTCTTCCATTCCCATCTCTTTTTTCTCTCTCTGTTTGTCTCTCCTTCTTTAATTCCCCCTTCCCAACGGCCTTTCCTCTCTTGATGATTTCCAGCCCTCAATTTTTTAATGCTGGGTTTTCACACTCTGATTAAAGCATTGCTGTACATTTGAATTCCTTTACTTTCCAGCTGCGGATTAGTTTCCCAGCTGGGTTTTTAATTTTCTGTAAACAAAAATTCAAGTGGGAACCTAGGCAACTTATTAAGGTGGGCTTTCTTTTTTTTCTTTTTTTTCATGTCGATGGCCGTAGTTGGTTCCTTGAATGTTAAAGAGTTTTGTAGTGAGTAATGGTTTTCCTCTTATATGCGTGATCTTCAGGAAAGAAGATTATAGGAGTTTGTTTGGTGGTGAGAAAGTGATTATTATTCAACAGAAATGGGAATTTGCTTGAGTGCTAGAGTTAAAGCTGAAAGCCCTTATCATACTGGTGAGTTATGGCTGGAATTTTTTTTGGATTTCCTTTTCTATTTGTTGGTATTGATTGTTATTATTCGTGCCTGTTGCAGCCATGGAGTTCGATTTTCAGATATCTTAAATAGTTGTTTCTGGGCCGTTTAAATTATTGTTTTTGGGGATTATTTTTTTGCTATTTCCTCTTCAGGGAATGTTTGAACCTTGCAGATCGTTTTCTTCTTGATTATTCAATACGGGGCAGTTGCCATTTTTGTTGTCTCCTCTAAATTAGACCAGAAAGTGGCCGATATCTGCTAGTGGACACCCCCCCTTCTCATGTCTTCCTCAGATTGACTAATTTTCTTCTAGCTATCTATAGTTCTCTAAGAATTTCGTTTCAAGATTGGTTCTTTCTGAAGCTTAAGTCATAATTGAAGTTGGATACCCGTAATTAATCATAAGGGGTTCTGTTTTCCAATTATTTTTTGGTTCCTAACAGTACATGAATCTTTTAATTTGATCAGGGGTGAGTTCAAGAAATGTGAGCATGGATGGCCATAGTCTGAGGAGTTCCAGTGAAAAAGGCTCTTCAAACTCATTGCCGGCAGCTCCCAGGAGTGAGGGTGAGATCTTACAGTCTCCCAATCTGAAGAGCTTCAGTTTCTCTGATCTCAAAATGGCCACCAGGAACTTTCGGCCTGATAGTGTGCTTGGAGAGGGCGGATTTGGATCAGTCTTCAAGGGTTGGATTGATGAGAACTCATTCGCAGCTACCAAGCCTGGAACGGGCATAGTTATTGCTGTGAAAAGGCTCAATCTTGAAAGTTATCAAGGCCACAGAGAGTGGCTGGTAAGTTGATTTTTGGCACTATTTTAAGTGAACCTCTTTAAGATGGCTCTTGTTCCTATTTTCCTTCAATAATTAGGTCCAGTGGGACTAGTGCGTATTCATGTTTCCATTTAATCATTGTGCAGGCTGAAGTGAATTATTTGGGACAGTTTTGCCATCCTCATCTTGTCAAATTGATTGGCTATTGCTTGGAGGATGAGCACAGACTCTTGGTGTATGAATTCATGCCCAGGGGCAGCTTAGAAAACCATCTTTTCAGAAGTGAGTTATTCGTCTTTCTTTCATCTTTTGTGCAAATTCATTTTGTAATCTCACAATAGCTACTCTGCTTGTCCGTTCGTCATATTCTTTTGTTAGAAGGCTCTAATAATTTAATGGTTAACAGGGGGTTCATACTTTCAACCTCTTTCTTGGAACCTTCGTTTGAAGGTTGCTCACGGAGCTGCAAAAGGACTTGCTTTTCTGCACAGTGCTGAAACAAAAGTGATTTATAGGGACTTCAAAACATCCAACATACTACTCGATTCGGTATTTTCTCATTTTAATCACTTCCTCATTTGGGTTAATTGCCAAATCGATTCAGTCATTATTGAGACAACTAAGTTAATTAGGCTGATTCAAGGTTTGCTCTTTTCTTATGATTTGTAGAGCTATAATGCCAAGCTTTCTGATTTTGGATTGGCCAAGGATGGTCCCACTGGAGATAAAAGCCATGTCTCCACAAGAGTGATGGGAACATATGGATATGCTGCGCCAGAATACCTAGCAACTGGTATTTTTTGATTGCTTTGTTCAATGAATACCCACTATTATAACCCAACTTGCATTTCTTTCTTTGTAAATAATATTGCAGTTTTGCGGGGAAAATGTTAAGATATCCCATTCATTAGTTTCGAAACTGCCAATTGCAGTTGCATGTTTATTATCTGCCAAAGTTTCTGAACTTAATTGTCTTCTTTCCTCCACTTGTTGGATTACATGCTTCTAGCCTTCTACCCAGCCTGAACTTTTTCCAAAGATTCTTCTTCCTTTTTCCCTCATCTGCTGGGATGTTTGATGGAGTTATCCCTACCCGCTGGACTTTTGTCTCTATCCACACTGAACAAAACTAATTTATCAAACTTGCTGATTGAATAGATATCGTCAATTTTCTAACTCAAAATACATCATTATGTATACATGTTTGTAGCAAAATAACGGGACTGGTGTTTTGTTATTTTATTTTCTTTTGAGGTCTATTTTTTCCAAAGCTATTTTGAGCATTATAAAATAATTGGTCAGGTGTCCCTTTCAGTGGTTCGAATGCCTCTTGGTGGTCATCCATTATTTTTCTGCTACTACTAGGGTTTCTTAATCTGATACCTAAATTATAGCATATTTGTGTCGATTAAACATTTTCTAACATTTTCTTGCATCCTTTTCTGAATCAGGCCATTTGACTGCGAGAAGTGATGTGTATAGTTTCGGAGTTGTTCTTCTGGAAATGCTATCCGGTAGGAGAGCAATTGACAAGAACAGACCATCCGGAGAACACAACCTTGTTGAATGGGCCAAGCCATACTTGACCAATAAGCGCAAAATCTTCCGCATACTGGACAACCGTCTTGAAGGACAATACTCCCTTGACGTAGCTTACAAGGCTGCCAACCTTGCTTTCCGATGTATATCTATGGACCCTCGTTTCAGGCCGACCATGGATGAGGTCGTCAAGGAGCTTGAAGATATTCAGAACCTCAACAACAATGCAGCTAAGAATGTAAACAACGCCGCCCAACAGCGGTTGAGGCAGCGCAGACGAAGCGCGGATGATGCCAAGAGTAGAAACATTGTCCCGGTTGCTTATCCAAGGCCATCGGCATCTCCCCTTTTCACCAAGTAATAGAAAGATGAAATGGTAAAAAAGCTAAGTGTTTTTGACGGTGGATACCATATAACCCTTTTGGAAATTGACCTCTGAAAACATCCTTGACCTTTTTTGTACAGTTGCAAAATAGCTTGTTTCTTAATGCCTTCGAAGATTCTGCCTCCAAATTCGAAAATCTTTGTATTTCTTTGAAGTAGTGATACAAAATATAAATGTATCGAATTCAGCATAGCTCTGTTATAGTTCTTAGAAAACGTCCAGTTTTTCGGCAAATAGGAAACATTTTGTGCAAAGAGTTGTTGAAAGTCGACTAATATCTATCTTTTTCTTCTTCTTTTTTTAATTTTTTTTTTAATTTTTTTTTATGTGTGTGTGTGTAAGTAATGAATGCTCTAGTTTTAAAAATTCTTTGTCCAGTCCTAGTAATAAGGCCGTTTTGTATTGGGCTCTTTAGGTGCAATCATTTGAGATCCAATATATGCTCGAGGGAAATCTACCAGTTTAATGTTGCTCCAAGTGGGGGTTTTTCTGTGGCCTTTATCCAGATGAATGTTTGAATTAGTGTAACTTCAGCAGCACAAGCACAGTAATTGAAGCCTGGTGTCAGTTAATCTCTCATTGCCTTTCTTTTTTCTTGGGAAAGTTGATCTCCACTTCAAACCTTTTCTTGTTCGGATTCAATACATAGAACTGCGACATTGAAAAGTTGACGGAGAGAATGCATATTAACTTCAACTAATAATAGAATGGTTTAAGAATTTGGAGGAGATGTTCAAATTATGATGAAACACGGAAAGGTCTCTTTTTTTTTTCGTGGTTATATTTACACTCTGCGAAGACAGCTTCATCTCTTCTCAAGCAATTCGTTCCCGGATGTATGGCCATCTTGTTTGGGCCATATCATGAACTTCTAACCAAACCAGGAGTCCAGTTTCTCCAGTCTAGTCTCCCAATGGATTTGTTCCTGAAATTCACCATTTCTTTTCTTATATCAAATCCCCTTCTACTACTCCCCCCAAGTTTGGCAGCCGACTCTTGAGCCACGTCCATCCCTTCAAAACTTTCCTCCACATTTTTGGTGCTGTTAACCGGCTTTTCTAGTATACAATCTGGTGCGGTATACGCATCGCAGATAATGTGCTCGAGCATCTCGACTACCTCGCTCATTTTAGGGCGAGCCTTGGGGTGTTTCATGAGGCATTTGTTGGCGAGGGATGCAAGTTTCTGAGCCGATTTGGTGCAGTTCTGCTGTCTTCGAAGTCGTGGGTCCATAATGAAGTGGAATTTTTTTGAATCCGACACGAAAGGTTTCACCCATTCTAAAAGTTTCTGCTCCGCCCGAGGCAAATTTCGCTCCAAGACCCGCCTACCTGTAATGAGCTCATATAGGACCACGCCAAAGCTCCAAACATCACTTTTTGCGGTGAGTTTTCCAGTGTGTACATATTCTGGGGCAGCATAGCCAACTGTTCCAACAACCTGGTGCGATTATCAACCATTAGATTATGTGTGTTATTGAAAAGAACAAGGAAATGATTAGTGAAAAAATGAAACACCATCTAGAGATAGCCAAGAAGAAAACTGAGAAGGAAATAAAACATACTGTTGTTGAAACATGGCCTAATCCGGCTGCTGGACCCTGTCTTGCTAAGCCAAAATCGGACAGCTTTGCTTTGAAATTTTCATCTAGAAGAATATTTGAAGCCTTGAAATCTCGAAATATTAGCTGAAAAGGCAGACAAAATTTATCAGACTATGTTAGAACCTAAGGGACAGAAGAAGAAAACTATGGAAAACCAAAGAGCAAAGATAACTACAATATTTTGAAGAATAATATTGGTTGATATTGCACAAATTTTCTGGATATTGGACGTTGGAGTCCCATTAAACCCGGGTTATGACTGAAATGCAAATATCCAGCTACATTATAGTATTAGAAAATCATGACCCGGAAAGGCATTCGTAACAAGAAGATTGAAACCAATTTGAAGATTTGTTAGGTGATAACAGTAGAAACATCAACATCATCATACCCAATCCCAACCAAGGTGATACTCCTACATTAGAAACAAAATAGAGAAATGCCACCATAATGAATGACCTGAAAGTCCATTTCTTCATGAAGGTAGGCTAAACCACGGGCTGCATCTTGAGCGATCTTTAATCTCTGCATCCACGAGAGAGGAGGAGATGATGATGATCGGGCCAATAAGTGATCCTCCAAGCTTTTATTATGCATAAGCTCATACACCAAAAGTCGCTGAATCCCTCTCTCATCATCCTCTGCGCAATATCCAATTAGCTTCACGAGATTCGGATGATTAACTACCCCCAAAAAGTTCACCTCGTTGATCCATTCTTTGTGCCCCTGCAAACTAGAAATGCAGGAATTGTAAACTCAGAAGGTAAACAATGTCGGAATAGATCAAGGCAGCTAAAAACTGGAAAACAAATCAGGTCAAAATAGTGGGCTAAAACAGTAAAAAAAATAATCCCAACAGCTAGGATGATAGCATCATTGGCACAACAGTCAATTCCTAAGTTGTAATAGTCAAGTCATTTGATGGCTACTTCCATGTCTTACATGGAGGCAGTCACATCCAATATTTAACAAGGCCTGCTCAGAGGAGGAAATCAAAGCACGCCTTTGAATTCTTTTCGAAAAAATATTGACCCATTCAAAGCTAACAACAACTGAAGCCAGCTCCAAACAAATGAGGGCAAAACTATCAATACTAAAGCTGTTTCAGAATACAAAGGGATTAGCAGAGACGACATTTAATAACTGGGAGAAATTTCCATTTCGCCGGAATAGAAAAGAAGGGTCAAATGTATTCTAACAGTCTTTTATCGGAAAATACTCGAAAGATTGCCTGATTCATATCACTCCAAAAATCCTTCAAATTTTCCTTTATTTCTCCCCAGTCTAATGCACCCTTTTGCACTGATTCATGTATTACTAATTTTAACACTAACAAACTGTGAGATTAAAATACTGTACAAAATATACTTGGGAAAAAAAAGATCATTCTTTTGCAACAAAATCCTAATCCGTAACACAGAACGACAAAAAACTCAAATTCAAAGCAAAAATAAAAATTACGAGCAGATAACAAGTTCACGATTAAATTTCCAATGCGTTAAGAAAAAAAATGAAAGAAGGGGGGAACGTGCCTGGTATCCATTCCGATTCAACTGCTTAATAGCAACCTCCACGGTACTGGATTGACCCGGACCCGGTAACAAGACAGCTCCTCTGTAAACGCACCCGAACCCGCCTTCACCGATCAACAGAACCCGGCTGAAGCCTCGGGTGGCGGCCTTGAGCTCCCCGAAGCTGAACACTCTGAGATCATTCCCCAATCTCCGCCGGCGCTGACTGAGGAACTCTTGGAACTCCACCGACGAGTCGGTGAAGAAGTCGTCGTACTCCGGCCGGCTGCTAACCACTGAGTCAGCCCGGCTCGATGCCACGCTCAATGACCGCGCCCATGAAACCCGGGACGACGTCCGGGAACAATGGTGAGAAGAAACCGCATCGTATTTCTCGTCGCCGTCCTCCTCTTCCTCCCCATCTCCATTACTAAAATGGAAGCATTTCATTTTCTCTGTCTTTTCTTTTTTTGGGCTTGTGCAATGAATTTCACTGTTTGAAAATTATGGTTCCAGGAAAGAAAAAGATGGGATTTTTCAAAGATTTTAGAGAGAAAGGAAACAAGGAAAAGAGGGGATTATTGAATTTTGAAGTGATCAAAGTAGCCAAACAAAACAACACCAACACCCGACCTACCTAACTACCCAGTCTAAGTAAAGATGGGGATATTTAAGCATAATCATAAATGAGGACAAAATCATTGCTTTATTTAATTGTTAAAAGTATTTTGCTTCTTACATAAGACAATTTTGACTCGGTTTAGATGTTTAACTAATGTGACTTCATTGTTAGAAGATTTTATTCGGAATAATATATGTAATCTATTCTATTTTTAAAACAAATATTATTAGTTGTAAAAAACAAACAAATATTATTAGTTGTAAAAACAACAGAATACTATATATTACTCCATCCATTTTAATTTGTAGGTAGATTTGGAGATATTTTTCAAAATATAGGTCGTTTTATAAATTCTAGACAAATTAATGACTACTTTTCTAACTTTACCTTCAACAAATTATACCAATCTATTTTCATTTAGTTTTGTTTATAGTTTCAATGTAAATAATGAAGAGCAAAGCTTTCCCAAAAAAAAAAATGAAGAGTAAAACATATATTTAACACATAAATTAATTGTTGGATGATAGTTACCTTAATTTACGTGTAAAATCTAAAAGTGACTTACATTTTGAAATGGATGAAATATTAGTTAAAAAAAAAAAACAGAATACTATATATTAAACCAAAAAGGCCCACATTTAAATTATTTTGTAGAATTATTTGGCATCAATAATTGTACCTGTTTTTTAATGAAATTTTTAATTTTTTTAATATGAAAAAAAGTATTCTACAGAGTAGTGGAGCGCCTCGTATCTCGTCCTAGCCAATCCCTTTTTTCTTTGGCATTCATTTCTTTATTCTTCTTTTTTTAATGATCATTTACTACTTCACTAAATAAAATAAAATTTGAAAACATATTAATTTTGTCTATTAAACATATTAATTGAGATGGCGTGACGACTACTAAGATATGTAAAAAAATAAAAATAAAAATTGAGAACGAATGGGTATTATCTTAAACAATGACAAAAGAAAGGCATTAGATTTAGACCAAACGGCTCTGCGGGAAGGAAAATGAATTGAGTAAAATAACTAGAATAATAATAAAAAGTCACGAGATGAGGCAGCTCAGCTCCATTGATGTGCCTCCATCATTCTCCGTGACTCTCTGAAAAATAATAGTAGTAGTAATAATACAGACGTTAATTCCACCATGTTGCTTTCCTTCTTGACTTTTAAGTTTGTGTTTAACTAAGTTGTTGATGCAACAAGTTACACGTTAATTATTTATTTATCAACTAATTATTTGATGGTATCTCAGTTTATACGAGACGACAACCAAATATAAAAAGTAAGCAGCTCGTGATAATTTTTATAGAGGAAGGTGGAATAATGATTTCGTTTCTGGTTTAGTCTCAAAATAAGAGTCTCGTACGGTATATTGTACTCGCTCTGTTTCGAAATTATTGTTCAGTATAGAATTTTACTTGTAATACAAATTGAATTAAAAATGAAAAATCAAACTGGACAATAATTTTAGGACGGAGGGAGTATAATTAAAAATATTTTGTTCTTAGTGTAAAAACATTTGTGAATAAATATAGGAAAATGATAGATTTGGTGAATGAATCCGGTAAACTAATTAATGTATTCCAGCCAATTGATGTACTAATATTATAACCTAAACCCTATAAACAGAGAACAATATTATTGGCAATGATGGTATTGTTTGTGCCGTAAATTCTAAGCTAAAAACAATATTATGGGACACTGCGGAGAATTCTATGATAAAAGAAAAAAGATAAAAATAAAACTTAGTATGTCTGTGTGACAACTGGCTTTAACTAATGAAGTCGCGCGTATCTTAATTAAATATAAATCCAACGTTGATGGCATTCTTGGATTTTTTTAATGAATGAATTAGAAATATACGGAGCTCAATAGGACATATTTGATTAGTTTTCAGAAAACTTGGTTTTTTTTTTTTTTGGATTTTTGGTTTATTAAAAATAAAATATGTTTAAAATAAAAGAAAAATACAGCAGAGTTTGGTGATCGGAATGAATAACTGAGGAGTGAGGACAATGCTTTTTTCTTCTGTATTTCGCTATAATGCCCGCTTGTACACACTGTCCTGATTTATGATGGGTTCATGAGTATAATAAATATTGGCCAAAAATCAGCATCTATTCACTTTTTGACCAAAACAAAAAAAAAGGGGGCCAAAAATCATTATACGCATAAAATATAATTAATTAATATTTTTTCAGCATGAAAGGAGAAAAACAAAACTTTATCAATTACTTAATTGATTAATTTATACTACTTCAAGATGGAGTGAAGAAGTTTCTTAAAACAATGAAAGCAAGAAGGTTTGGACGGAAGAGAAAATCTCTGGCAGAAGCGTGTCATTAAGTTTTAGGACACGTAAATCACACATATTGAAACAGTCAAATACCACAAGCTCCAAGTTAAATGGAAATGTCTTAAAAATTTTAAAAATCAGCCTTTAATTAATGCCAATATGAATTTTTAATAATAATTTGATAATATAATTGTGTGGCTGGGTATTTGCGCAATTTGTAATTTGGTTGTCAATAATCAATTTTAATGTGTCGCATTCTGTAGGTTAATTAATGCCAAATCTCTGAATTGTTCTAACTAGACGGAAGAAGGAAAAATAATAATAAAAAAAAAACCACATATTTTTTCGGGTTAAAAGAAAAGAGGAGAAAAATAAATCATTGAGAGCGAGAGACAAACGCCAAGTCGCCAAGTTGAACGATATATTTCTTGTACTTGGTTTTCGTAGTTTATTTAAACTTACTATTTTAGTGTAATATACCGGATAATTAAATTGAGACACGAGAGAAATGCAAAACACGGATGTAATTTGATGAGAATCAGAAGAATCTTGCTAGGAAACAATAAGAAGGCAAAATAAATAGCAAGTTGAGAGCATAGTAGTGAGTACTGAGTACTGATGAGTATAGCCAAAAGTGTTACGGTTTTGTATAATTAGAACGTAGGAAACTAAGCAATACTAATTCATAACATCATTTTTTTATTTTTATTTTTTTAAAGGAAAAAAGATATAACTTAATATTAGTATATAGGCTCTAGGTATCTTCATTGATAACATACTTGTGTACGCATAAAAAATAGCGGTAATAAACATCATAACTCAAAATGAATCTGGTGTCACATTATGCTAAATATAGATATTGGACGCGTTGAAAAATGAGGTAACTCGAGAGATGTGAATATCATATTACGTTATACTCCCTCCATCCTATAAAAATAGTTCAATTTCAAAATGTACAATTTTTTTAATTTAGTCAAACGCAAGAAAGTAAAACTTATTTTATCCATTAAACTTCCATATTTATCCCTGATTAAGAGTTTATTCCTGGCCCCGCAAAGTCAAATCCTCTTCTTCCTCCTATGGTGACCCAAATTCTAAATCCGCCGACCGCCACCATCTCTTCCCCTCTCACTCCAATTCTCATCTAAACACAGCTACGGCTCCTCCTAAATCCGCCGTCCTCCACCACCACTCCCGCTCTCATTCGGGTTCTCATCTATATTTCCATTTCAACTTTGACTCCGAAGACAATGACGACCACAATCACATCCACGACGATGATGATTCAGCTTCTAGCTCTTTCCACCGCCACGCTGGCTATGAGCAATTGACCACTGCTCTGACGGCGGTCTCTCTACCTCCTACCATTCCACAGTACGGTTCCTTATGTCTCTGGGGCTAATTTTTTATTTTGGCGCCTCGTTCTTCGATTTGAAAGAAATTTGAATTGACATCGAATGTGTTTCTTTGTAGAAGAGAAGACGGAAATAATTTTTTCCACCGTAATCCCTCAAAGGTTGGATTCTGTAGATTGAGGGACGTGATAAATTAGGCATAAACTCGGATTGGGAAAAAAGAAGAACGAAAAGCTTTTAACATTCCGGCAGTTGTGGGAGGGCAATTAAGTTATTTTATCAGTTTTAATTTTGACTTCTTTGAAATTGGACTATTTATTTGGGGACAAACTTTTTTTTATCAAATTGGACTATTTTTGTGGGACGAAGGGAGTATATATTTGAGTTAGTGAACATCTAGAAATGGCTAGGTAGTATGCTTTATATATAAGTTTCTTTTCTTTAAGAATCGGAAAAAAAAAATACAATATGATTGTTATTATCCCTTATTTTTTCTAAACCGTAAGCACTATTTCAAAGGCAAGGCTAATAACCATATAACAGTGCCAGTTTAAAAAGTGAAACAATTGTATCAAGTTTACTCTCTACACCTCAGAATATTTATCATATTTACCGCACTGAAACAATCATTTTGGGAAATATTGGAACTCTTGGGTAAGAAATGTGTGATGCGGAGTTATGACTACTTATGGGTCCAAAATCATAGACTGAACCTCGTGTTTGAGTTTTGGGTTGGCAAAAGGCCTAAATCTCTTCTTAATCAATAAAAACAGGGGTTGGATAACTATAGAAGTTATCCTCCATATATCCATCTCCAAAAGGGAGCATGTAAAAGAACGGAGGACTATGATGTGCAAATAAATGAGTAACTACACAGTAGAACGATCATAATTAGGGATGTTCACGGACCGGATTGATCCGGTTTGCCCTCAATCCGTAACCAAACTGTTACTTACGGATTTTAAAACATTGAAATCGTAACTGGACCGAATTACACTACAAAACCGGACCAATTCAAATCGTATTGAACGGTTTGGTTTGGGCAGTTTGACAGTTTTGGCCTATTATTGGGCTTTTTTTCTTGATCACAAATCGGCCTTTTTATGTTATTGGGCCTTTTGCTAGCCTTTTCTTTGGGTTATTCAGAGGCCAATAATGAGAGTAATATTGGGCCTCTTTTAAATTTAAATCCATGAAAATTAAAGATGTCCAAATGACTAAAATCCAATCTAAAAATCCCACAAAAAAATCATAAATCAGTCCAGAGACTAATCACTCCATAAAAAAACCATAAAGAAAGAAATTATGTCCATAAACAAGAAAACAGTCCAAAATGAGAAAACAAATATTTTTCCAGAAACATCATAATATAAACACAAAATAATCATGATTCAAGGTCCAGTTGCAAAACCATCAACAGCTGCTATGAATGACTTATCCTCTTGGAAGGGGTACGAAGGCAAGTTCGACAAGATCATTACTTCCTGGAATTTTTCATGGCAGAAATGCGTTTAAAGTGTTTCACAATTAATAGACAATCTTAGACAGGGTAACCAGAGAGTTGATTCCTTCCATCCAACTTAAACAGGAAGCATTATATGAGGAAAAAAAAATGAAAAATTAAGTCTTTACTTTGAAGCAGAAACTAAATTGAACTAACTGTTCTCCCGAGTGATTTTTTTCCAAAAATTTTTTTAAAAAAATGCAAAACTGGAACGACAACATCAGCTAGGAAATTAACTTAAAAAGAAAAAGAAAAAAAGGAAAGTGAAGGCCTAAAGGCGAACTGCGGAATGAGTTAAACACTAATCCGTCAAGCTATTGATTGAGCTGAAGAGTGAATGAACAATGGGAGAAAGAATTGGAGATCTGAAAGACTTCGATTCGATAGTAATTTCACTAGAACTAGAACAAAATAGTCAGACAGAAATGATGAGCTAAATATACCCTTATAGCTTAGAATCCACATCTAACCAAAAAAAAAAAAGATAGAGAAGAAAAATAGATAAACTCACTGATCAGAAGAACAATTAGCTGGCGAAGAGGAGGAGCAGCGGTGGCCGGTGGCTGGTGGTAGGTTGCAGTGGATCTCGAAGGAACACTGGAGTAGCAAAATCAAAATGCCAGATGGAGGAGAAATCAGAGTGATGGGGGTTCTTTTCGGTTGGGACATGCAGCGGTGGGTTTGGGAGGAGTAACGGTGGCCGATTATAGTGGATTTAGGAGGAGCAGCGGTGGCCGGTAACAGTGGATTTGGGAAGAGCACTGGAGCAGAGCCCTAACCCCGTCGTTTGGTGTTTCACGTTTGGGATTTGGGTTTGGTATAAGTATATAACCGTATAAGATAGAAATTAAAAATTGATAAAAAAAAAATACTTATATTAGAGTTAGGCAAGAAAAAAAAAGAAGAAGATTACAATGGGTGTAAAGTTTCGAACTCAGGACCTAATGGAATTGAAAAGTATAAGAGAAATAGGACTACTAACACAACAACTTATCATTTGTGTTAGGATATGTCACTTATCAATATATAGAAGAAAACTACTACTATTATTATTTAATATATATATATATATATATATATACGGTTCGTCCGGTTTGACAGACGGTTTCTCTATGTCAAACTGTAATCCGGATCGGATTTAACGGTTTATAATTTTTCAATCTGCCAGATTGAAAATTCAATTGTAAACTGGCCGCCAATCCAAACTGTCAACCGGTTTGGGTGATTTGACCGGTTTAAACCGAACCGTGAACATCCCTAATCATAATAGTATTTGTTCTGGTTATTTCAGTAGATAAATTGTGGTTTCTTCCTCCACTGTTTTCTCTTTTTCATTTTTTTGGGGGAAGGAGAAACCGTGTTTTCCGCTTAACAAATTATTTGAACTTTTTTTTTTCCCCTAGTAAGGAGGGAGAAAATTTCTGTTTAGGCACTGATCTTGAAAAGGAAACGGGCTTGTTTGCGCAACCTTTATTTTGTATTTTTGTCTCATTTTACCTCTTAAAACACCTCTCAAACACAAATCTCAATACAATCCAAACAACTTTTTAATTTACCTTTTAAAAAATACTTCAAAAATTATTTTTACACAATTTTCATCCATCACCACCAGATCATCTCCACTACCACAGCTGCCGCCGCCGGACCACCGCCGGTAAATTTCAGTGAGTTGGCCAGAATTTGGCCGAAATCCGGTCGGTCGGCGCGGTGGGCGATTCGGCGACAGCGACTGTGATGGAGGTGGTCCGGTGGTGGTTTAAAAATATTATTAGTTTATTTAAAATATCATTTAAATAATTTTTTAAATTTTATCTTAAATCATATTTTAAATCAAATCTCAAACCCAAATAAAAAACGAAAACAAAAACTAAAATAAAATGTTGGTCAAACAAGACCTTAGGATGATGAATAAGAAGGTAACATTACCGCTAAAAAAAAAAAAACCACATTTCGTTTTGAGTGTGGAAAAGAGATGGATAAATAAGGTAAAAAAAAAAAAAGGAGCAAGGAGCAGTCCTGAATGATCTCATCCTAGTTGAGCCTAGGCTGGGCAGCCTAGCTGTACATATCCACGGTCAGAACTCAGAACAGATAGAGGATAGATGATTGATGGATCGATCACAAACGTACGACAATTGTGAAAAGCCTTCCTCATCAAACCAAAAAATTAAATAAAATAAAGAAGAGGCCTCATCTGCCCGCATCTTTCTTATCACTTCGATTTTATTTCTGATGTTGATGACAATTGACAACCTTTACACCAACAAAACTACTTAGTCTTGCCAGTTGCCTCCTCAATTTCCCCAAACACAACCACATTTTGTGTTTGGAAATGCCCGTTTTTTGAACAATAATAAATCATCAAGAAATGTGGGAGGAGATGTCAACGTTACGTACCATGAAAAGAAGATACAGTATCACAAGAAACCAGCTAGGCAGCTAGCAAATGTCAAAAGAAAGAAAAATAGAATACTAAAAAGGAAAAACTTTGACCAGTTTGTTCACGGTTTACACCAAAATGGACATAATTATGAGAGCTTTCAGTTTTTGAAGGTTTCAAAGTTTCCTTGTTTCAGAGTCTTTCTCTGGTAGAGAGGTGAACTAGTCGTGGGGACCGGGGGAGGATTACTACTCTACCACATACAAATGTGTTAGCTTTACTACAACTTCCCATATTTTCTACCAAAAACTTGATCATTTTTGTTTTTGTGCTCCTCTGCTGTGTCAAATCTAAGAAAGAAAACTTAAATTTTTTTTTAAAAAAGAATCGTCTATCCCTTGCTTTCCGGAATCGCTTTTAGCCCGTGCGTTGCAAGGGAAATATACTGTGGGTATAAAATATATCCGGTAAGGAGATGAGTGGTTTATACTCGTTAAATACTACTACTTGTGTTTAAAAAAAATTACATATTGATTTTTTAAACTTATACTATTTTTAGTACAAATTTCAAAACTAAATTTGAACTTTTTTTTTGGGACGGAGGGAGTAACAAAGTTTAATAGAGTTTAACTATTATTAACGGGATCAAATTTAAAATTTGAAAAGAAAATCAACGGAGTTTAACTATTAAGTTTTTTTCTAAAAAAAAAAGTTGAAAATTTGAAAAGTTTTAAGTAATAAAATATTCACTAATAATTATTAAATTATGAAATGGTCACTAAAAATTTGAGATATTATTAAAATATGAAAGAAGATTAAAAATAAAAAGTAATCATATTATTCTTTGGCTTGGTCCGCCGCAAATTTTATAAGTTATTTTCTTAATAGACATACTAAATTTCAGAACTAAAATAGTTTCAAAAAAAAAGTTGTGATTATTTTTACCTTTGGAACAATTAACTACAATTTTTTCAACTTCAAAAATTTAATTAATCTTTAACAATTTTTTTAAAATTTGTTTTTTAAAAAATCTTAATTATCTTAATCATCTTTAGATTTTTTGAAAGTTTTGATGTAACCAAATATTTAGATTTTTTATCCTAAGTCAAATCATAAATAGCAATATCTATTTTTTTAATGTCAACTTAACTAGGCTTCTCAATTTCGTGACACATAAGCATTTTTCATCCTCTATTAATATATATAGATTACTATAAAGATTTACTACTCTGTATTATATCATTTTTTTTAAAACAAAAAAAAAAAGGAGGAGGAGGAGGAGGAAAAACAGAGGTTACGTGATAATATTTTTTTTGAAATGGTGGTTACGTGATAATATGCATTAATCCTTTTTCAAAAAAAAAAAAAAAACATTTGATATCTATTTCTATAACTCACGTACCGCCAGGTGCTACCTAGCACGGGGTCAAGTAGTAGTCCACGAAGTAGCGATCCTAGTCAATGGTAGTAATAGTGTAACACTATTTCGATAGTGTGGTTGATCATTAATTTTTTTTATGCCAATATAGCTAAATCAAAAGTGTATGACAAAAGAATTTTTATTTTTATTTTTTATTTTTTGGTCTTCGGGCCACGCATATTAGTTAAAAAAAAAAGAAGAAGCAAGTATAAACCATTTATGTATGTTTTGGTCTCCAATCTGGTATAGAATTTGGGGACAAGGAGCAAATTTAGACGAGTCCTCTGAAGAGATTATCGTAAAAGGATTCTCGTTATTCTGTCAATGATATAAAGAAGACCATATATATGCCAAATACAACTAACTGATAAAAGAAAGGAAAGTATTATCCTTATCTCTACAAATATGGAAAAATATAATTATTAACGTAATTATATAATCTTAATACTCCCCCTAAGTTGGAGCATGAAGATTAATGATGCTCAACTTGCATAAAAAAAAGTGAAAAAGATCACGTCCTAAATCTTTGGTGAGAAAACCAGCAAGCTGAGATTGCGTAGAAATGAGCCGATGTTAATGGCAGCTGGAAAGTGGCACAGAGATCGCCAGTGCCGGTGAGGGGAGGGACCAAATTATCATGAGGCATAATCGAATACAATGGCCGGGAAAAAAATTGGTTGACGGCGGCTTAATTTAGGATGATGCTCTGAACCATGAAGATATTATCGTAAAAGGATTCTCATTACTGTGTCAATGATACAAAGAAGACCATATATAGGCCAAATACAACAAACTAATAAAAGAAAGGAAAGTATTATTCTTTTCTCTACAAATATGAAAAAATATAATTATCAATGTGATTATATAATCTCGATATCCTCCGATGCCATCATTTAATCCAGCGATCGGTAAAACCTTGAACTGATCCACAACTTGTACCGCTAACTAAAGCTAGCTGCTGCTGATTTGCAGTCAGGAACCCGGGTCTTTGCTGAAGACAATTAAGCAATCCTTCAACAAAATTTGACTCTGAAATTCGTATGGACTTATGATCATTGATCAATTCAACTATTTTGAGTCCTTTTCAAAAAAAAAAAAAACACTATTTTGAGTAATCACAATTCCAACGATATGAAAATGTATACGTGAGAAGGTACAAAATGAGAAGTTCATAAACACATACTCCATAATTGGAGTACGTTACTTAATTCAGTGTTCTTCTTACGTACTCCAATTAGTTTCGGAAATTTAAAGATGGATGAAGAAAAAAGATGAAGGAGGATTGTTTGGGGTGCCATATTGTTGACAAAAGCCTAGCAAATTAAACACAGGTGACCCCCCAAAACAGACTTTCTAAAAGGAGACCAGACCACCATTCAAGCTAACCTTGTACTACTCATATCTAACGTCAAATAACACACATTGATTAACTCACTCCATTAAATAACTTCCGCACTCCAAAATGCAAACTCTAATTAATTAAGATTTCAAGAGATCATCACCGCCTACACTCATTTAACCAAACTATAAATGAATTCCTGTTACATTATAGTACTACTACTCATCCAAAGACTAATAATTTACTAGTATCAAACATTCAAATTCATATGATAAAGAAACAAACAAATGCTGCTGCCATTCCATTAAAGAATCGAAAGGCAGCGCAAAAAAAGCTAATTATGATTATCATTATCTTGTGAGAGGGCGAACCTCAAAGAATGAACGATTCTTAACAACAATATCGTACATGTGAATTGACTTGATATTCGAGAAATTCTTAGGCAGCGAAATGAGGTGGGTTGAGTTGTCCGATCGATGGAACTGGATCATATCCAACCGGTTTGGATTGGGGTACCGCCTCCACCCGAGCTCCATTAGCCTCTCTTGTAGCTCCTCGTAAGACCCAATCACCTGGTTCGTTGGGAGGTACACTAGTACACGTGGGCGCGCCCCCGGAGCCGTCGCTGTGCCCGGTTGAGGCGGGTTGCTTGGATTGTCGAACGCTTCTCGGGTCGGGTTGGAGATCAAACGGGCCACTCCCTTCTTGTCAAACACCCATACTCCCGACATTGGGAAGTTTATTTCACACACACACACACTCACACAGTGGCCAAAGGGAGAAAAAGATGGGAGATTGGTGAAGGAAGAGAGGAAGCAGAAGTGAAGAAGCAGAGACTAATGCGAATTGAATGAAGAAGTCTCTTTTGTAGTACGTACGTAGTACTACAACTGTTGTATGGATGGACACATGAAAACCTAGCATATTTATAGTAGTAGTGTAGTGAGCTAAGGTGGTCAAACACTAGGAGGAGGATAGCATGTGAAACATCATCACTACAATCATCATATATATTAAATGTAACCGAAGTTGACGAGTAGATTTTAGACGGGTCATATCAGTTACTATATCTACTAATTTTTATTAACAAGTTGACGATTACAATTGTATACTTAGAAATAAATCGAACATCTTTTTAGTTACATTTAATGGAAGCATGAGAACTACAATATTAATGTATGAGATTGTATCAATGTGGACATTTTCATGTTTGGTAGTAGAGGTGCTTGTAGAAAATTGAAGGTAAAGAAAAGATGATCAAGAGAAGGTGTAACAGTCGGAGGAGGACAACATATATGTGAATGTTTAAGGTACCATGACTTTTTCAATGACCTATCAACCCAATTTAACCCCTTTTGATTCAAAAAATTCAGGAATACTAATCTGCATTGGTCGATTGGTATTGTCATTGGCTTGTGGTTCTATATGTTATAGAGCATAATCAATCGAAGATTGTACTAATGTCAGTTTGTTTTCTACTTAATTATGGGTGTAACGGTAATCAGTTTAGTTCCAGCTTACCAGCTGGAGCTGCACTGGCATTTCTGATTCTAGAAATCGGATTTGCTTTATAATGAGTCATAATTTTATTTTATTTTTTTAAAAAAAACCAAAATAAGAACGCGCGCGATGCTTATTCTAGCGCAAAATTTTCACATTTTTATGCGACATAAAATTAGTATCTTAGTCAATGCCAATGAAATTTAATAATCTCCTTACTAATTCTTGATGTCAAATCTCAACATTTATATCTATCACAAAATTGAGAAACTGATTTTTTACAAGCATAACTTTGAAGTTATATTTGGTTCAATGTGGAACTACGGTCCATTCATTTTCCTTTGGACAGCAAGGCCATTGGTGAGTCGTGCCTTTCTTTTTCTTTTTTTATTTTATTTTAATAATTTGGAGGGAAAATATTTAGAATAGAGGGCTCCAAAATATGAAATGAATAGATAAACTAGACATGATATCTATTCTAATTGCGACAATATTAACAAAAATACTAATAATAATAAAAAAATGAAACAATTAATGGATTGGGCCGGTGGGGGGAGGAAAAGGCAGAGAAAACTTGGTGAATAAGTAGCGCTTCATAGTACAAAGCAGTTGTGCACAACGACAAACGGACGACCCCTTCTCAGCTGACCCTACAAAATCACACACACTCACACACAAGTCACAAATTCCACCTCTCCAAATTGGAGTGCAAAGAACAGAGTCCCTATCCCTCCATTTTCTCTCTGCAAAATTCTACTGTCTTCCGCTCTTCCTTTTTTTCATTTCCCAGTCTGCATTCACCGTTTTTGGTTTCAGAAGTTGGTCGCCGCAGGTATCTTTAATCTCTCATCATGCTTTTTTTATGCTGTCGTCGTCGGACAGATGCTTTGTTTTCTCTTTTATTCTCTGCTTTTATCCTGTATTTCTGCTCTTCTCTTTCTTTCTTCTTTTTTTCAACTCATATGGATGGTGTATTTCAAGTCGTAGAAGTGTACTCACGCCAAATGGGATGTTTCTCTACCCGAAAAAAATCATACCTTCTGATGGATTCTGACTTTGTTTATGATGGCTTTGCTTGATTTTTATTTCGCCTGGAAAAAAAACCATGATTTAGGAAGCTCTAAAAGCTGGGAATCACTTTTGAAACCCTTAATCCCGTTGTGTTCTTATTTTGTTTTGATTTTTGTAAATGGATGCTGAATAAGTTGGGTGTAACGTTATGCAGCGAACTTAATCAAAACTTACTGTTGTTCCACTCCCTTTTTTTTGAGGCTAGACTGTATATATGGTTTTGTGGGGGTTATTTCTGGTCTCTTTCCTTCATCATATTACTACAGACGTTTCTGTTAGAAAATCTTCCTATATTTTGTTAATCAGCAAGATCTGTTCCTGTTTTGGTTCCCCTTAATTTTTTTGGGGGCATTGGCCGTTGATTCTTTTCTTTTCTGCCAGTGAACAGTTTACCATATTAATAATCGGTGCATGAGAAAACACGAATGGTCTTGTTTTGGTCAGCCCTGTTTTCTTTGTTCTTCCTTTTCTCTCTGTTCTGGCTTTACTTAATCTTTTCCTAATTGTTTGCAATTCTCTTTGTCCCTTTTGGTGGTGGCTTGCTCTTTGTGGAGACATAACAGGGGATTATTTTATTTTCTTTTCTTTTCTGGTGATTTTTTGTCCCTGTGTATGTGAACAATAGGACAGGTTAGTTTCTGCATTCATAGTTTCTAGGAATTGCTGCTTTCTGTGAGCTGGAACATATCACAGAGGATGTGTTCAATCATTTTTGGGAGTAGAAAAGCCTCAATGTCTAAAATTCATAGCCTTAGTTGTTTGCGGAATAGTCGTTTGTTTGAATTTGCTGCTAACAGTTCTTGCCCTTTTCAGGTTTTCTGAGAATATGTCTTCCTCGTCAGTAGAAGAAAGCGATTTAAGTGAATCAGATCTCGAAGAATATGGAATGAAATGCTACGAGAAACTAAAGAATGAGCAAAGGGAGTTGAAAGTTTCAGATGAAAAGTACAGATGCCCGTTCTGCCCTGGCAAAAGCCATCAACTATATCGCTTCAAAGAACTGCAACAGCATGCTTCAGGAGTGGCAAATGGCTCAAAGAAAAGAAGAGTCAAGGAACGAGGCAAACATCTTGGGTTGACAAAGTACATGATGAATGACCTAGGGAAAACTGATCAGCACTCAATGGGGTCGTGTAACAGTGGTGATCCCCGGGAAGTTGGGCCTAATTCAAGTGAAGAGTTTGTTTATCCCTGGATGGGAATAATTGCGAATGTGCCTCGGGGAAGGCAAGATGGAAAATATGTTGGACAAAGTGGTTCTAAGATTAGAGATGATCTTACCATCAACGGATTTAACCCAGTGCGAGTAACATCTTTGTGGAATTATGCGGGATTCTCAGGTTATGCCCTTGTTGAGTTCAACAAAGGCTGGCATGGATTCAGCAATGCAATGGCATTTGAGAAGATGTTTGAGGAGAATCATCACGGGAAGCAGAATTACTACGATGCATTCGAAAAGGGAAATGAGTTATATGGATGGCTTGCTCGTGCTGATGACTACAACTCAAGTAGAATCTTTGGGGAACATCTTCAAAAAAAGGGTGATTTGAAGACTATTGCTGGCATAGAAGAAGGAGAAGAGAAGAAATCGTCAATGCTTGTTTCAAATCTTACAGATGAAATTAAAAAGAAAAAGGAGTGCTTGAAGGAGTTCGAGAGTAAATATTATGAGAGTTCAACTTACTTGAGTAAGTTGATGCTTCAAAAGGATGCAACGCTTAAGAAGCATAATGAAGGTAAACCATATACCACCGCAGTTTGAACTTAAGTCATAATTTTGTTACACAAATTTTTACAAGGCAATGCATAAAGCCATCTTTTATTTCTATAATTCTTGCACAGTGATGCATTGGTTAGAACTGATTAATCTATATCTTTCTTTGTTCTGCATGATTCAAGAGTTGAGAAAGATGCAGGAGATAACTAGTACTCAGCTCAAAAATATTTTCTCGGAGCATGAGAAAATTTCATCACAATTAGAATCACAGAGGAAGGAACTTATTGAGCGCGAAGCCAGATTGAAGGAACGCGAGGCCCTCAATGAAAATGAGAGAAAAAAACTTGATCAGCAGAAAGAGATGGTACTCGCTTCCATTCTTGCGTGAAATCTTGAAATTTTGTCATTCCCTCTTCCCCCCCCCCCAAAGTAAAGCTGATATCCTTTGCCTATGAATGAGGTCTACTATAAGTTTCAGAACTGAAAAGTAAATCCAGAAGCAGCTGGTTTTACACTGAATTTATGTTCTGCAAACTACATGGCTTGCATCTTAAACAAAAATCTTCTGGTTTCTCATTTCAAACTGTATTTACATTTTCTATGCACATTTCTACATTTTCATTAGAACCCTTCACATTTAGGACCACTAAAAACTAAAATGCTTACCGTACAGAACCTAAAAGTTGCATAACTTCATCATGTGCGAATTTCAATTCTGTGTCTGCTGTTTTGAAATTTATACAGAATGAAAGAGCCACCACGGAACAGAACAGGGCAAACGAAAAGGTTTTGAACTTGGCTGAGGAGCACAAGGTTACCCTTTTTCCTTCTTCAACTTTTTTATTAAACTAAACCAACCTGTTGTGATTCACTATTCAAGGAAAAAGTAAAATGTGGAATTTGCAGCGGAAAAAAGAGGAATTGCACCGGAAAATTATTGAAATGGAAAAGAAAATTGATGCAAAGCAAGCATTGGAACTGGAGATTGAACGCCTTAGAGGAGCTGTTGAAGTTAAGAGGCATATGGGGCTTGATGTAGATGATCAGGAAGGTGGCAAAATGCTAGTTGTCATTCAAAGCGAGCTTAAAGAGAAAGAAGAGGAGTTGGAGTATCTGGATGCGGCAAACCAGACTCTCATTGCCAAGGAGCGCAAAACCAATGATGAATTGATAGAAGCACGGAAAGAAATGATTCAAGTAAATATGATGCATTATATGAAAAAGGTTTTCCAATTGGTTCATGTATTACTTTTAAGGGTTGCCTTTTAAATAAATCCCGTGTATTAGCTGTTTTGTTTCATGATCTAACAATATTGCTCAAAGAAAAGTAACAAAATGTTAGTTTTCTCATTGGCTTGTAATTTCTCCCTTATTTTTTGTCTGCAGGGTTTGACAGGGAAGAACTCCAAGATCATTGGTGTGAAGAGAATGGGTGATCTTGATATTTCGCCATTTCGAAAAGCAGTTAAAATAACACTCCAGAAAGGGGAATCAGCTGAAATGAAAGCAGCGGAGCTGTGTTCAGAATGGCAGGAACAACTCGGTGACCCCAGTTGGCACCCTTTCCAGATGGTGAAAGTTGAGGGTAGTGAGGATTACAAGGTACATATATCTGCATCTCGCTCTTCCGCAAATGAACGCACAATGTCGATTTTTATTTCATTCTGATGAACCCCACATAAAGACTCGTTTTATCAAGCCACTCTAAACTCCTAATTTACATCGATGAAACCTAGCTGTGCTCGTTTTATCAAGTCACCCTAAACTCCAATTTTACATCAATTCTCATTAATTTGGATAATCACGTCAGATTTTTTCATACAGAAAATTGTTAACTCGGATGACGAGAAGCTGAAAACGCTGAAAGAAGAACTTGGGAATGAAGCATATGACGCAGTGGTGACTGCCTTGAAAGAGATAGATGAGTACAACCCCAGCGGAGCATACATAGTACCTGAGTTATGGAACTTTAGACAAAACAGGAAAGCCACACTTAAGGAAGGTGTCTCCTATATACTCGAGCAGCTGAAACGCCTGAGAGGGAAAAAGCGATAGATGTTGTGGTACGTCATACAAAAGACTTATGCTGTATGAGTTTAATTTGATTCACACTAACAAACATGTACAAGTCCCAAGCAGGTTCAAATGATAGTTCCACGTCTCATTTGGAATGGTCTTTTAGCATTTCAAGACATGAATATTTTCACATAAATATTCTGTCAATGCAGATGAGTATGATTTCAAAATGCTAACCTGGAACACAAATACTTTAGATGGGTTCTTCAGCATCTTTAACTTGTCGTCATCTGAATAAATATATAGTACTGAAAATGCCTGGAACGTACGTAATGGACTAATGGTCAAATGTTTTTACGTATGAACATGATTAATGAGCATTTTGAATTGATCACAGATGATGAAGTATCTGTATGCTTGGATCGAATTCTACTGATTACTACGGCTCTTTACTCTTTTTTAGGTGCCACAGCATTGCAGAATGGAGAAGCCGGGAACTCTCAATCTTGGTGGGAAACGAACGGATAGGTTTTGTTCGGGTAACTTTGAAAATTTTGCACTGTTTTGTGAGGAAAATGAGTTGGCTGATGATCCCACATCCTCAATCAGGATGTAAACACTGTTTTTCAATCTTCTCTGTACTCAACTACTAGACATGATTTAAAAGTAAAAAAGCAGCGCAGCTGTGTGTGAATGCAGTCGCACATGAGAATGTCCTAACAGAGGAATCCAATGACTGCAGTTTTATTAGTCCTCTGTAACTGTAATTTTCACCCTTTTGTGTTTGAAACTGGAAAAATGGTATCCAAAGTCTTTTCATTTCAACTGTGTTAGTTAACATAAGCTGTGAAAAAGCAACCAACCACAGCAGAGAATTTGGGTTGTTAGTTTCATTAATAAATACACTTTAGTACTCCAGTACCACTCACATGGGAACCTATCAATGAAATGTGAGAAAACTCTGGGTTGGTATAGATTCTGCTCTTCTTGGAGGGTTTTAGCATTTTGGTATTGCATTGCAGGCCCACCTGCCATGGAAAAAAAGGCCCGCATAGGCACACACACCCCTTGCAGTAATCACAGGCTCCCTCCTTTTTTTCTCCACTGTAACCCACGAAAAATAGAATATTATCTCATCTTCTTCTCTAGTAATGAGTTTTGGTCTTTAGGTTAGGCCATCATGTCATGCAATTTCAGGGCTGGAAAACAAATGCAGAATCTTTCACACAAATCTCTCAGTCATTGATGTAGTGGGTGCTTTAGATAGATTCTTGGACACATTCAGGAGTGTTTTAGACTATAGAGCATTTTCACAAAGAATGAAAACATAGATAAAATTGCTCAAAGATTTAAGCTTCAATTTGTCATTACAGTAATAGCAAGAGGTCATAGTACAATTCAAAAAGCAGATTAGTAACCCCAAAATAACACACCTTTGCCATTGATGACAACCCAATTGTACTTAAACTAGAAACCACTAGATTAGGGTGATACACAAAATGAACCCCACAACAGTAGTAGTAATGAACTATGCTAATTCTATACTATATAATCTAATGCTCTATACTAACACAAAACTACTACTTAGTAGTAGTTACGCAGTAACACAAACACAAATCCAGCTGCGGGCTACATCTGTTTTTGGGTTTTGCAGCCGCCTCAGCTCCACTGGTTGGTTCCCTTCTTTAAAGTTTTACGCTTTAGTCATCATCCCCATCAATGACTAAACCAATCCTCTCACTTGTTCAACATAAATAGGATTAGGGGAACAAAATAAAAAGTAAACCCCCCCAAAATCAGAAACAAAAAAAAAAAAAAAAAAGAGAAAGAAAAGAATCAAATGGTTCCAAAAGTCAAAAGAAAGCCCGCCCCCCAATTTGCCGAAAGACAAAGGTAGACTATTAGTACTCCCATTTTCCCAAAATTATTGTTCCATTTGAGATTTCACTTTTAATACAATTTGAACTAAAAATGAAAACCCACGGGATAATAATTATGAGACGGAAGGAGTATATAGTAGATAAAAGGGTAAACGTGGATTGGAGGGAATAACCCGAATTGGTGGGGTTAGACCCGGAAGTTCTTTCCGACGAAGGTTTGACCGAATTGCCAGTTAGGGTGGGCGATGTTCCAGGAGGTGGAGCTGCGGCGGTCACTGGCGGTGACGCGGAAGGAGAGTGACTGTCCGACGAGGAGGGCGTTGGTTTGCCAGTTCTGCCCCCAGTTTCGGCTCAGGTTAATCCACCCGGTCCTGGTCCCTTTTACGCTCACCCTCACGATATCCCCTGCGCCGGCGACGTTGGTCACCAGGATCAAGTTAAAGAAACGGTGTCCGTTGATGGTGAACCTTATCCCGCCTTGTTTCCGGCACGGCACCCTGCGGAAAATACGAAAAAAAACCCGGGTCAAAATGGTAAAAAGAGCAATCAACTTAGCGCAAGACGCGGACCGGGAGTTAAGGAAGCGGGTGAAGTACGGCTAAAACGAGTTTTGACAATTGTACCCAAATAAATATATTAATTTTATTTTTTGACAATTTGACGTACGGTTTCAGATGGTAAAAGTGTATTGAAGACTGTGCCAAACTCTTTTTTTTTAATTATTTTTTTCTTTCATAAACATTGGGGGTCTGGTGTTTGACGGGCCAGTGCTGGAATGGACTATACGTGATGATCTTTGGAGGGGTGAAAATGATCCGACGGTTCATATTCTTCATCTAGATAACAAAGTTAGCCCCAACCTGATTGGCTACATTTTGGGGTCGTTGTTGTGGGCCTAAAGTATTAACGAACATCCATGTGGTTTGTTTTTTTTTTTTTTAATAATTTATTTACATTGAAAGCTATTTTCAGCTTGAATGTATTTGGGGGATCTTTATAATTTTAAGACAAATAGACAACATGTAATTGAGCTGTGAAAGGAGGATAGCAATTTGGCAAACAGAATGTTTGTTTTGGGACACGAAAAAAGGCGTAAATTGCTGTTCCAAAAGCGATGTTTAACGAACCATTTAAACTGTGCCAGAAAGAAAACAAAACAAAAACATCATCATATCTAATTGGAATAGTGTTTACTTTTATTACTACCCAATATAGACACAATATTCATTCATAAAATCAGCTTCATATTTTGGTGTTGCAGCAAAACTCCACAATTTCTAATACTTGTTTCAATAAGTTTTAATGACACGTATATATAAATAAAAGAATGATAAAATTTGTTAAACCCAAAGATAACGATTTGCAGAGAAAACAGAGCAAATAACAGAGGACGACAGATAATGTGAAAGAAAAAAAAAATGCAAAGCGGCAAAAGCAGAAGAACTACTCACCGGCGGTAAGTAACGGGAACAATTCCGGCGCGGTACTCAGCAATCCTGAGGAACATGGGCATGGCGAGATCGAAGTGGGGCCGTGGAGGGTTGCACCACCCGCCATTGTCATTGGGCAGAGCGTAATTCGGGGGGCAGAAATTGGTGGCGGTGATGAAGATGGAGGGGCTACCAGGGTGGCAATACCGGGGAGAAGCGTCGGCGCATTTGATTTCGAAGCAAGCCCCGCAGCTGAGTCCACTGTTGAACAGCGCCGTGCTCAGCGCCGCATTGTTCACTCCATAGCCTTGACTGTACAGGTTTCCGTACCCACAAGCTCCACCTGCATTTGGAACATATGAATTTTCCCCATAATTAAAAAAAATTACCCAGATTCATAATCCAACTCTTACGAGTTGATAATTTAGTCCTAATCCAACTCTATTCCATAATGTACCCACAATTTCTGGAAATTTAATAAGGAAATTGAGGCATATAATAAACTCGGGAAAAACAGAGTACACATTGTGGGGTGGGGTGAATAAGTAATAATGTACGAACCCATAGTGCCGGAAGCATCACTGCCGCCGTAGAAGGTGGCGTGGGCAGTCTGCCAAGCTCCGCCGGAGTAGACACCTGGGATTCTGGCTTCGGCTACCAAGAATGTGAATGCTAACAATGCAGCAATGCAGGCAAAACCCACGGCCATTGTTAAATTTCTCTGTATTACAGCCTTAATTTAAAGCCAGAAACAATGTGAAAGAGAGAATAAAAGGGAAGGAAAGGAGGGAGAGACGAGAGAGAGAGGGAGAAGAAGGATGAAGAGGAAAGAAAGAATGGAGGGAAGATGGACTACTTATGGAGGTTGCCTCCGGTGGCATTTTCTGTAATTCTTACTTCATTTCCAACATATTCTTCCTATTTTCATTTTTTTTTCCCAGAGAGCGGTTTTTTTCTTTGTTATTATAATATTGTTTTTCCTTTTATTTCGCCTTATCTGTTTTTTGGAGAAAACATTTTTCCTTATAAAATTCTTTTTGGGTCTATTATTATTATCTGTATAATTTTATTTTTCCCCTCAGCCTTTATCTGTATACCACTAATTTTCGGCTGTGTGTTTGAGGGAAATTCGGGGGCCATTGCAAAAGCGCGTGTACGAATTGGGATTTTGTTTGAATTGGTAGCTAGCTATATTGCGTTAAAAATGCATGTTCCAACTACATTTTCAGAATATCCCTGCACGAGCTTTGTTTTCCACTCTTTTCTTGATACATTTTCACACCCATTCCAATTTGATTTGTCATGTTCCACATTTTTAGCCTAATCACGAAGAAACAACGTTGTATGACATCAAAAAATGCCCTTCTAATGTATATATATTCAAAGTGATCCAACATTTTATATTTATCAGTTCATGGAATTATATCCATACTCTTCATTACAAAATAAGTCGTATCTATTAGTGTATCAAAATTCAAAACAGTTAAGTTTTTTTAGAACGAATGGAGTAATTAAAAAAAAGAGAGCAACAAAGTGGTAGTGATCGTTAGCTAATTGAACATTCTAAATAAATATTTTATACATAAAATGTATCACGTAAGATTATGTAACTCATAAAATAATTAAGAAATGAGAAAAGAAGAAGAAGTAATATTTGGAGGGGAATTAAAATTTCTATTAAAATATGACCAGATAATACTTTATAGTACTAAAAATAGCTGGTCAATTGGATAATTTAGGTTGAATAACTTGAACCTTACTCATTATTTTGAATAGCTACTTTTTGTTACTTATATTTTCTTATTTATATTGAGGCACAAAATAGAAGTATCATTAAGCTCCATTTATAGCATTGCTTTGGTGTAATAATTAAAAGAGCTCAAGTTGAAGAAGATGGAGGAGGGGGGCATCGAGGCTGTTTTCCATTACAACCAAACGGAACGCAAGTTAAGGCGCAACCAGCGGGCAGCAGCCGTGATTCAAACGACTTAGGCAATTTTGCTCGAATGCCCCCACCTTCTCTAGATTCTGGCTTTGTGGCCTATCAAAGGAATCCAATTTTCTTCCCCCCCACCAAATCTTCCTTTTCTTCCATAAATATATGTTTTAAAAATGATTGTCCAATTTTCATACTACTTTTATAACACTAAATGGAGCAACCATTTGGAGGCCGAAAGGAATTATGATTTACCTAAAAGGATCAAATTATAGACGGGTGCTTTACTTGTGCTTATTGTACAAGGCGTGTGTTACCGACATATATAATTTTTTGCCGATAATCATATATGAGTGATCTAAACCGCTCAAATAGAGTTATATTCGTTGTTATCACACCTTTGGATTTTACCAAATATTGGATGTCACAAGATGAATACAAACGGGAACATAGAAGAATCAACCAAACAAAATTAATTTCCTTAAAGAGGAGGGATCGAAAACTACAATAAATGTGCATGAAGCCACCAAGTTAGAGAGAGTTGGAGGCAACAAGAAAGAAGACATTAAAACGGTGTCCAACTAAAAAGGAAACTTAGGAGAGGAGAGGAGAGGAGCTATGTGGGCCTGGTGATGGGTTGAGCTCATGGGCCTATATGTCTTTTTGGCGGGCATTTTGGAACCCCACAACAATTTCCATAATTAACGGGGCATTCCATTACACACGCTTTTTCAAAAAACTACTACCAGAGACGACTTCTCACATGAGATATAACGATATCTCTCCCTCGAGCCACGCGCGCTTAACGCTTTTACACTCAATTGGGTTTGTTTGTATTTTTATTTCTTCCTTAAATTCACATTTATTATGAGATTTGGCTTTGCGTATTTGTTTGTTGATATAATAATTGTTTTCAGACGGTTAGTGTCTCCCACCAGTTTTGAGCTGATATTTTTTATTATTTTTCAGATTAATCGAAACATTGATTTTCGGACACCAAATTCCTAATATAAAAAAAAATGAAGATTGAATGATAGAACAATGTAATTTCTCGAGTACAGTCACTCGTTGCTTTTTCCTTATCTGAATATAGTACAAACTTGATCATCCAACGTGATTGAGTGTTATCTCGGACATTTTGATTTTAAACTAGTTAGTTAATCTCTTTTTGAGGATTATGAAGTCAGCGTTGGTAACCATGAGAAGAAAATTAGCCAAACAATGACTTTTCCGACCAAAAGTTTTGAGAGATTGGTCTTTATTTTTCCCTCTTTTTTTTTTTTTTCTTTTTTTCCTTTGTAATTCACAATTGCCAAAAAAAAAAAATGGTATTGGGACAGCAATGATGAGGCTACTCCAAAAGAGTAGACTACATCTAGAATGTCTGATATTGCTGCTTCACATGCACCTACAAATTTGTTCTTGCAAAGTTATAGACAGTTGAACCAAGTAACTATAATTGGTGTACACTTGTCCAGAAAAATTGTACATTTCCCAACATGAGATCTTAATTTTTACAACTAATTGTGTACTCCATCCATTCCAAAATAAGTGTCATTTTAGCAAAATGAAAAAATTCTAAAATAAGTATCGTTTTCGGATTCCAATATATTTTTTGTCAAAAGTTTCCAAACATACCCTCAAAAGAAATAATATTATTAGTAAATATTTATTTTAATGGGGTTAGTTCAGGATACTCTAGTAATTTAACTATCTTATTTAATGTTTTTTTAAACTGTGTGCAAACTCTAGAATGACATTTATTTTGGAACGAAGTAGTACTAAGTTTTCTCGTCCTAAAATCATCATCTTCTTGTCTAATGTGTGCAATTTTGTATCCCTTTTTGGATGATTTGTGTTTAATGTTTGTCACGCCTAACCTTATCAAACCCATCATCAATGTTCTTCGTCTAGAGTTAACACACTAATTGATTGATATAATATTGTATATTATATTAATATAATAATCTATTTTACTAAACTAAAATTGTACAAGTAAATGAATCATTAAAAAAAATAACCTGAGAGTAGAATAGATTACTGCAAACTCCATAATGTGTTTGGACACTTGATTTCCCCTTAAGCAATATCATCTTAATATGTGGTGGAATCAACTCCAACCAACTTAATTAGCAGTAGTAATTAACAGTGATTACCATTAAAGTACTCTCAGTCAGTTAAATTGTGAAGCTAAAGCAAAAATGTCGATACAATTTAACTCAGTAATAAAAGGTTTACGTCCACAGGCCACAGTCAAGCAGTCTCTCACAGTAAAAACTTCACTTTAATAAACAGTTAAAAAAAAAAATTTGCCAAACCAGCTGGCCCGTTGTCTGGAAGTCCGAGAAAAAGTTGTCGAGTAAAAGTCATCATCATCATAAATCATAATCTTCACTGTTTCCATTCTTCGATTTTTCCCCCATGGCCATGTGCGATGCACATTCAATGGTTTTTTTTGTTCCTTTTCTTTTATCTCCATAAAAATCTTTGGAGAGAATTAGAGTATTATAAAAATCGATGTGCATTGCTTAAAAAAGAACCAATCAAACTAGTACTTATAGATACCTTTGAGTACGATAAATCAATAATCAAAAAGTTATGCAATGTTATTATTGGAATATTGCACACGAGATTGAGCCTGAAAATACCCTCCATTTCCATCACTTTTCACCAGCATGCATGCATGCCATTCTTCTTCTTTTTCTCCCTTTTTTTGGTGGAGGGGTTTTTTGGTTTTAACTAACTGGAAATCATAGTGTGTGTTTAGTGCTAATCATTTTGACACCTTTATAGTGCTTCAATTAGTCAAACTCATAATCCTTACAATACTATTTTTGGTTTGGCGGTTCTCTCATGTCTTAGGCTCTTAGCTCGTTCAAATAATTTTAACTGGTGGGAAAACTATATTGTACCATGTACGGATTGCATTTTCATTTTTTTTTTTTTTTTGGGTTTGCCTTTCCTTTTGTACAGGGCACTAGCTTCTCCCGCTTTACTTGTGAATTGTTCGTGTTTTATTGATGAAGCAACCTTGAATTTATATCTCCATAACAAAAGAATGGCGTGCGACGATTGAGTTACCAAAAAAAAAAACATTTTTATCAATATTGGAATTTTGAACTTAGTTTATTTGATTCTGATGTAGAATGGCAAAAAAAAAAAGAAAAAAAAAACCATAATTGTGGCTAATTAGCTAGATCATATAATTCTTGCACACGTTACTTTTCAAATTGTGAAAAACCACCCTGGCTGATTTTGGGTGTTATTGTTTCTTACATTAATTTAGTGTTTAAAGTCCAAATATTAGCTCAACTGTAAACCTTTAGTTTCACTTTTTGAAAGAAATTTTCGAAATGTTTGATCATTTTGAGATAGTGTTTGAACGAATTGGACTTGAATATTATTATATGATTGCTTGGTCGATCGATCGTACTTAGATTAGTTTGAACGGGATTATCAAAAAGTGGTTTGCATTTTGACCTGCCCATTAAACTAGTCTTTTTTTTTTTTTGGGAAGCTTATCACTTGGCTGATTCTATGGGTCAAGAATAATGCAACTTTCACACTTATATATTCTTAACTCCAAGGTCAATTTGTACCAATTGATTATACCCAATTTGTTTTTTGCTTTCTGTAATTTCCCCTTTGGTTCTGTTTTGTTTTGGCCTTTTGGAGTTAACCTTTGTGGCTTGGGAAAATTTGCCCCATACTCCTCAAAAGCTTGATAGACTAGCACGATAATGCTTCTTTCTTCTTTTTTTTTTTTCGTGAATATAATTCATACTCTTTCCGTCCCATAATTATTGTCCAGTTTGGATTTTTATTTCTAGTTCAAATTATACTAAAAGTGAAATCTCAAATTGGACAATAATTTTGGGACAGAAGGAGTATATTATAAGTAGATCTCAATCCGTAGTTAATTATTTCAAGAGGACAACAAAGAAAGGAACAACATTAGTGAAGGATGAAGAAAGTTCAACGTCACTTCAAGATGAAGGCATAGGGGCATATGATTTGGTAACAAAATGAGAGCATTCTATGCAAATTTAGCGGTCCATATTTTGCAATAAGAAATTGCTTAAGCTGGAAGTAATGCCCAACCAATGAAATTTAGACATTAGTCATGATGATCATAATGTGTAAGTCATGAACACAAGTAAA